AAATATTTTGTCTCAGGATTTTGATGCAGAATGGTGGCAAATCGATCTAGAAATCGTTAAAGGTACTCCGCTTGAGAATCAGATGAGAATTGGTGAAGTTATAGCCATCACAGTGGACCCTATAGGGGAAAACCCCATTTTCAAGGGATCCCATCAGAAAAATGCACAAAAAATCTGAAAAATATTTTGTCTCAGGATTTTGATGCAGAATGGTGGCAAATCGATCCAGAAATCGTTTAAGGTACTCCGCTTGAGAATCGGATGAGAATTGGGGAAGTTATAGCCATCACAGTGGACCCTATAGGGAAAACCCCATTTTCAAGGGATCCCATCAGAAAAATGCACAAAAAATCTGAAAAATATTTTGTCTCAGGATTTTGATGCAGAATGGTGGCAAATCGATCCAGAAATCGTTTAAGGTACTCCGCTTGAGAATCGGATGAGAATTGGGGAAGTTATAGCCATCACAGTGGACCCTATAGGGAAAACCCCATTTTCAAGGGATCCCATCAGAAAAATGGACAAAAAATCTGAAAAATATTTTGTGTCAGGATTTTGATGCAGAATGGTGGCAAATCGATCTAGAAATCGTTAAAGGTACTCCGCTTGAAAATCGGATGAGAATTGGGGAAGTTATAGCCATCACAGTGGACCCTATAGGGAAAACCCCATTTTCAAGGGATCCCATCAGAAAAATGGACAAAAAATCTGAAAAATATTTTGTGTCAGGATTTTGATGCAGAATGGTGGCAAATCGATCTAGAAATCGTTTAAGGTACTCCGCTTGAGAATCGGATGAGAATTGGCGAAGTTATAGCCATCACAGTGGACCCTATAGGGAAAACCCCATTTTCAAGGGATCCCATCAGAAAAATGCACAAAAAATCTGAAAAATATTTTGTCTCAGGATTTTGATGCAGAATGGTGGCAAATCGATCTAGAAATCGTTAAAGGTACTCCGCTTGAGAATCAGATGAGAATTGGTGAAGTTATAGCCATCACAGTGGACCCTATAGGGGAAAACCCCATTTTCAAGGGATCCCATCAGAAAAATGCACAAAAAATCTGAAAAATATTTTGTCTCAGGATTTTGATGCAGAATGGTGGCAAATCGATCCAGAAATCGTTTAAGGTACTCCGCTTGAGAATCGGATGAGAATTGGGGAAGTTATAGCCATCACAGTGGACCCTATAGGGAAAACCCCATTTTCAAGGGATCCCATCAGAAAAATGCACAAAAAATCTGAAAAATATTTTGTCTCAGGATTTTGATGCAGAATGGTGGCAAATCGATCCAGAAATCGTTTAAGGTACTCCGCTTGAGAATGGGATGAGAATTGGGGAAGTTATAGCCATCACAGTGGACCCTATAGGGAAAACCCCATTTTCAAGGGATCCCATCAGAAAAATGCACAAAAAATCTGAAAAATATTTTGTCTCAGGATTTTGATGCAGAATGGTGGCAAATCGATCTAGAAATCGTTAAAGGTACTCCGCTTGAGAATCAGATGAGAATTGGTGAAGTTATAGCCATCACAGTGGACCCTATAGGGGAAAACCCCATTTTCAAGGGATCCCATCAGAAAAATGCACAAAAAATCTGAAAAATATTTTGTCTCAGGATTTTGATGCAGAATGGTGGCAAATCGATCTAGAAATCGTTAAAGGTACTCCGCTTGAGAATCAGATGAGAATTGGTGAAGTTATAGCCATCACAGTGGACCCTATAGGGGAAAACCCCATTTTCAAGGGATCCCATCAGAAAAATGCACAAAAATCTGAAAAATATTTTGTCTCAGGATTTTGATGCAGAATGGTGGCAAATCGATCCAGAAATCGTTTAAGGTACTCCGCTTGAGAATCGGATGAGAATTGGGGAAGTTATAGCCATCACAGTGGACCCTATAGGGAAAACCCCATTTTCAAGGGATCCCATCAGAAAAATGCACAAAAAATCTGAAAAATATTTTGTCTCAGGATTTTGATGCAGAATGGTGGCAAATCGATCCAGAAATCGTTTAAGGTACTCCGCTTGAGAATGGGATGAGAATTGGGGAAGTTATAGCCATCACAGTGGACCCTATAGGGAAAACCCCATTTTCAAGGGATCCCATCAGAAAAATGCACAAAAAATCTGAAAAATATTTTGTCTCAGGATTTTGATGCAGAATGGTGGCAAATCGATCTAGAAATCGTTTAAGGTACTCCGCTTGAGAATCGGATGAGAATTGGTGAAGTTATAGCCATCACAGTGGACCCTATAGGGGAAAACCCCATTTTCAAGGTATCCCATCAGAAAAGTGGACAAAAAATCTGAAAAATATTTTGTCTCAAGATTTTGATGCAGAATGCTGGCAAATCGATCTACAAATCGTTAAAGGTACTCCGCTTGAGAATCGGATGAGAATTGGTGAAGATATGGCCATCACTGTGGACCCTATAGGGAAAACCCCATTTTCAAGGGATCCCGTCAGAAAAATGGACAAAAAACCTTAAAAATATTTTGTCTCAAGATTTTGATGCAGAATGCTGGCAAATCGATCTACAAATCGTTAAAGGTACTCCGCTTGAGAATCGGATGAGAATTGGGGAAGATCACTGTGGGTCATTTATTGACTTTTTTAAGATTTCTTGTATACCTTATGAAGGAGTAATGGCCCCTCATCTTTCGGTTTAGCATCTTGTGTTTCTGGGTAGAATTCGATTGGAATCCTTTGGCATTCCTGCCCACCCACAGACCCCTGAATGGGCGGCTGATTGAACTGGCAGCGTGCGGCTGAAATAATTAAATTTGCGACATTTCAACGCTCGCCGATCAATGGAATGGAATTAACTGTTGTCAATTATCCGTCGCTGCTTTCATGCCTCTAAATAGTAAATAAAAAACGACTGAGCCGAACCAGATTGAGAAATGGAGAAAAAACAATCGATTGCCGACAATAAAATGTCACTTGATCGCTGCTTTGGCGCTCGTGTCCGACTGAATTTAGGCATCGCCGGCGGTGGTCACTCTCCTCGGGATGCTGCAAGTTGGTGGGGCTACCCTCGGAATGGGAATCCCAATTGGAGAGATGCACTGGCAGAACAGCTTTCACAAACTTGAAACTAGAAAGAAAACCAAATTAATAAAATATACATTTATTAAGAATATACTTTTATTCATGTAAAACTTTCAACAACCAAATTTGTGTATTTTAGTTTAATTTTTCTCAGTGCATAGCTTGCCTTGGTTGTGCTGGGCTGGTGAGGGGGGTGCTGCTACCTGACCAGGTGGCGTCGATCTACCGCAACGCTCGACCACACAAGAAGCTTAATTTGTTGCAAGTTGTCCGCTGTCTCCGCTTGACTCCCCATCAATCAGTGGATGACGATTCTCCTCTGCCACGGATGCTCTACTGGAATGGTGCAAGAAGAAGAATCAACTACAGCCAGAAGGGGAGGTGGCTGCAGTTGCTCCTTTTTTTGCTCCAGTCCCGTTTCATCGAAAATTCAGAGCACGCGAGTGGAAGATTGTGTTTCTGAAGACTGAAGCTTTCGGAAGATTCTTTTTCCTTTTTATTGTTTTTTTTTTATATTTTTATTTAAAAGCTTTTAATTCTTTTAAGATGACAAAGCTTAGAAGATCACGACTTGCTGCTTATTCTTCATAATCAATGATTAATAAAATATGATTCATTGCTTTTCCAAAGTCATTATTTCAAGTTTATTCTCTTGTACCAGGGGTAAAAATCTTTAGAAAAATTAATAAAAAAAAATATGTAGTTGTAAAGTGAAGTGCTATTTATACATTCTTTTATAAAATATTTTGTTTAAACTTTAGAAAAGGCAAGGGAATTCTTTAGAAACAAAGTTAGAACACCCTCCTAAGCTTCATCTTCTCCTAAGGTTATCTCTTCATTCTTATTCATTAATAAAAATTGAAAGAGGTATTTACTAAAATTAGTAAGTTAGTAATGGATAGTTTAGGTAATGTCTTCAGGCTTTTAAGTTTACGTCAGCTTAAGACTCTTGAAAAGACAAATCTCACCTAGAGTCAAAATTAATATGGATTCTTGCGAGTTTAAAAGCACTTTTGATGGATTTCACCAAGAATCTTAACCCCAAGATAACTTCACATTAGCTCCACCCTAATTAACCCCTTCAACCCTTGCCACCCACAAACACACACATGCTTTCCCACCACTCTAATGAAAATCTATCACCGTCAGGTCTTGTTGAAAAAGTAAAATTCATTACACTTTCTCAATTATGTGAGATAAATTTTAATCAAGGAGGAGGCCAGGACATGCCACGACGAAAACCTCATCTTAATCAAGTAAATTAATAGCAGCGAGTACTCCTGCTCGCAGTCAGAGATCAAAGTAATTAATTATAATAATTAAAAACTTTTCGGTGGGCTGAAGTTGGGGGAAACCAAACTTTTAGACTTTTGAATGTGAAGGAGCGAAAGGATACAGGAAGGATGTTGAAAAGTGCGTGCACCTGTTGAGATTTAAGCAATTCCCCAAGCCAATCACATATTCATATCTTGTGCACCACGCACTTCAAGTTTTGGAGGGCCAACTGCATAGTTGCCATATTTTCTTCGAGTGTAGTAGTTTTTAATCATCGCTAAGAGCTCTGGAGGATGTGCTGTTCCGCTTGGCTGCACTGAAAGGCGCGGAAAGCATTTACCAACACTGCCACTGACACGCCCCAGCCACATAACCGAATTGTTTTTGTTCAGTGGAGCAAGGGCTGTGCATTTCTCGCCCTCTTTCACTTCAAGCTTCAAGGATAAACCGGATGATGGGGGATGGGGGATGCAGCCAGGACACCGCCTGTGAAAAGTGCACAGCAATCATCTAGAGTGGGCAAAAACAAAAAGGAGCACATCCTCCGGCAAAACCGCAATGAATAAGCAGTGACATCTGCCACGGGGCGTGGCTGTGTGCCCACTTGGAAGCAATTAATTGGCGTGAAAAAGGATAAGGGAGTGAGGCTCAAAAAGGATCTATGTATATGTTTTAAAATTTATTTTACTTTATTATAGATTACTTCACGTCATTGCACCTTCAATTACATTCGAAAATAACTAAATTCTATGCCAACTGGACGATATTTAGTTGGAAGGATAGGTGACCTCGGTCTTCTTCACGTTCAGGTTGCCGCTCTGGTCGGTGGCGCCCTGGATGTTGGTCGTCTTCTGGTTTCCGTTACTATCGACAGTGGTGAGAGTGTGCTGGACAATGGTTTGGGGAGCAGTTCCATAGCTGGACTGGGACTGGAAGGAGCTACCAACTCCGCCATTTGGGTAGCTGTTGGTGTTAATACTTCCAGTATAGGAGATGGGATAGCTTCCACTGTTGTAGTTGCCATTGTTGTAGGCACCAGAGTTGTAGGCACCAGAATTGTAGTTTCCGGTGGCAGAGTCCTCACCAAAACGGTTTTCAAAGCTTCTAAAAGTTTCAAAAAATAATTAATAAAAAAATGAATTTAATTGAATTAATAAATTATTAGCTTACACTGCTGGAGCTGCCGCCTGCTGAGTGTAGGAAGAGCCAGATTGTCCGGAACCATCGGCATTCTGAACGGAGTGGGAGGCAAAGGTGATGGTGCCACCGTTTCCTGACGAGGAGGAGGACGAAGAGGAAGATGAAGACGAGCTATAGACCTGACGACGCAGACGCCTCAGCAGATGGTCATTAACCGGATGAACATCGGAGGGATGGCCCTCAGCGTCCAAGGTGAAGAAGGCACGTGGCAGAAACTGTCCAGCTAATTGCATGAAAAAATAAATATAAATAATATTGCTAAGCTAAGTTTGTGGCCTTTAAAAATTAATTCAAATAAACTTAAATATCATCCATTTTAATAGCAAAGTCAAGCTTGCAAGTGGTTGCTTTAGTAGTCTAATCCGAAAAGTATGCTTCAAATAATGCTCATCTATTCCAAACTTTTATTTTTCACTTTGTGTGTGAAAGTTTGTCCATTCTCCGTACGCGTGAATATTTAAACTCAATGCGAATTAGAATTGCTTTATTATTCACGAAAAAAACTGAAATTAATGTTCGGAAAGTTTCAAACAGAAAACATTTGTCGCCAACACTTAATGAGCCATCGAATTTCACAAACCAGTTTTTAAGTTTCATAGATATTTTTTTGTGTTTTTTTTTTTGGGTATTATTAACATACTCGCACCCGCAGGCTACCGACTTGTTAATCAAATTAATAATAAACATGATAAACACTATAGGAGGCACTGTAGGAACAGAACCTTGGCGGGGCGATGATGTAATTGCAGAGGTAGCCAAGTTTAATCACTTCACTAATTATAATTATCTTGCGACTTACCGGAAGAGGCCGACGCGGCAGAAATCGCAAACAGAGCGATGGCAATCACAGCGTATTTCATTGTGGTGGCAGAGTTCTGTAAAAAAGTACACTTTAGCACTAGGTTTTAGGGGATATCTCAGGGGAGCAGGGGGAGGGGACTGCCACCAGCACTCACAATGACGAACGAAAGACTGAAGCAGCGAACGCGTGAAAAGTTCAAAATCGACTAAGATCGCGGTGGCGCTGGCCGTCGCTTTTATATGGAAATTTTTAGCGCTGACGTAGTGCGAATCATCAACTCCAACATCATTATCATCAGAAGCCGTCAAACAACCAGAAGAAGAGCTGAGCAAACAGCTCAAGCCCCGGCTCTACCACCGGGTGGTGGTTCAGATCAACAATAAACAAAAGATCGAATAAGAAAAGAATTAAAGATTTGAAATCTTGGTCCCAAACTCGTAAAAATAAAGTTAGAGCCGGTGAATCATTTCTCTCTCTCTCTCTGGGAGTTTCTCTGGAGAATTATTCATCTCTTGTGAAAATAAATCCCCCAAAAAAAAGTTAATAATAATAAAACCCAAAGCTGGGAATTTCGGTTCAGTTTGTTTTGACTTTATTTGTATTTCGCGTTATAGCCCGAAAAACCTACAGAAAGAGTTCAATTGTTTTTTCTCTTTTTTTTGTTTGTGTTCTTTATTCATGAGTATTGCCTTGAGCTCTGCTTTTGACCCGATTCGTGTTTTTTGGCCAACAGAATAAGTGCCATGGGCAATAACCTGATTACAAATGGGGGGCCAACACCTAAGATTCAAAGCTACTGACCCTATACAGAAACTACATATTTTCATTTAAACATTTAGTTTAATGGCTGCCATGCGTCAACGAATTATAATAATTTTGGAATATTAATTAGGGATTTCTCTGTCGCGTCTAGTTCGGCTGTCGTCTCCACACGCCCCATTAGAAATTCAACTGGTTTTGGCCTGTTTTTGTTTGTTTTCTGGCCCAACAAATTAAAACGAATCTTGTTATTTAACTTTACATTAACATATATATTCCAGGAAATCCTTTGTATCATTAGCCAACCGGTTATCCAACCAGATGTGACTGATCATCTCACATGGTAACGGAGTGCAACAAACCAAATATTCAATATTTCGAACATCCGAGAATTCAATTTGAAGGATTTATACTAATCCAATAGATGGCCACAAAATATTTGGCCATTTGTTGCCGCCACTCATAAGTATACAAATATTTTTGAATTTTGCACACGTTTTTTGCCAAAAAAATGGAATAAATGGTTGGAGGGGGAGTGGAAAAACCTTTTCCGCAAATGGTGACAAAGCAGAATTCTTGGGCCGCCTACTCGGAAAAATAATCCCCAGCCGATTTGAACGATTTATTATTTCGGGCAGCCAGCTCGGAGCCAGTCCAGTACACTGGGAACACCCAGAACCATTAATCATTCGAGTCCAGATCCAAGTCCGAGTTGTGGACACTCGACATTGGTGGACATTTGGCGAAGAAACTTTTGCGGTACGTGGCAACGTGTTGAAATTACAAAATGTGTTAAAAACTGAACGAGGGGTAGGCATCAAAAAATACAAAAAACCCCCCAAAAAAAACTAAAATAAAATATTTCATTCACACACGGACTTTTGGTCCATCCTGTCTCTCCAAATAAAAAAACATAAATTTCCTTTGAGAATAGATCCGTTGACTGACCGAACTTTCGAGTTTTTTTTTTTAGGGGGGGTAGTGGCAAGGTGATTATATTTGACAGCCGACCTGGGACTCAAGACCCCGCCCCTTTTTTCATCGCCAGACAGGACATGGGTACCAAGTCCAGCTATGAGGAAATTAGTTTTATTTGCTGTCTGATTTATGGTTTAGATATTTTAGAGAACTATATAAAATAGCTATACATTTTCGTGAAGAAAAAATCTTAAAATTAAAGCGCAATATTCTGTACAATTTTTGGCATTCAATAATGATGATTATCTCGAGGGACCTGCAAAAATATGAATAATTGAAACAGCTGAAAAATATAATATAACCAAATCAGCTTTCTGTTTTGGGTTTTTGATGTTTTTTCTTTGTTGGGGAATGAGTGACAATTTTCTTTCATTTCAACCTCCCTCAACTGACAAAGCTTTGATTACAAAATTGATTTTCAATGTTTTTCGCCTAAAAATACACAAAAGAGTCGACAAAAAAGATTTGCCTGTGACTGTCAGTGGTGGTTGGGGGGAATCCACCTCTCCAATCCACTCCAAAATCCATATCCCAGCTACCTCAACGAATGTGTCGGCTTGGAGGCACGAACCTCGCCTGATTTCTCCAGTGATTTTTGCGCAATCAGGCTGATGAGGATGTGCAAAGGATGATGCATGTAGGCATTCGTATGATTAGTATCCTTTCAGTCATCAGGCTGGCAGTGGCAGGACTCTCTCTGGCATGCCAAGTGGCCTCGGCCTGGGCTCGATGAAACTTTAATGGCCGGCAAGGACAAGGCCAAAAGGAGTCACTGAATGGAATACGTGAGCTGGCCAAGGAAATGGATATTGTAAGCTGCGAGAAAGTTGAGTAGTCTTCTGGTCTTAGGAGTATATACTTTTAGTATCCTTACACATCCTTAGTCGCAGTGTAAAAACCAGTCCAAGACAAAGTGAAATGCATTGAGGTGGCTGGCTGGGAAACGCGTCTCGAATCTACAACTACTACTCGTGTTCCCCCCACAAACTAATCCTGTCTAGCATATGCCAGATCCTGACTACCATATAATGTCCTTGGCCCACGAGCATCTTTATTATTATCCTTGCTGTCATGCAATTATTTTGGACTATTTTTTCGGCGACTCGGCATTGTATCCTGGGAAAGGCAAACAATGGCCATTTCGGGCACACGACTCCGAGCCTGATTGCATCCGTTCTTGGGAAGCCGCTGGGTCGTGTATTACCAGCATCCTTACATCGTGACTTCCTTCCGGTGATCGGTGTAACTGGATGAAGTCCAATGGCTTCATCCGCAATTTTCACGCCCACTTTGTTTGATGATGACAAATCTCGTTGCGTGTTATCAGATTGGCCGACATCCTCCCCCTTGCCATTGCCATTGCCGTTGCATAATTATGTTTATCTTCGGAAGCTACGTTCAGGTCACGTGTCCTTCGTCCCGCCACCCTCCGCTGCCTCGGAAGTAGCGGCACGTGCTAATCGGCGGTCGCCTGCCACCGCCCCCTCGTTGCAACTACCCGGCTTCCAACATTCCTGATAATTGAAATCGCTAAGCTCTGGATCGGAACGGGAATGGCTTCATTTATCAGTTCAGTTCGATGGCAGTCCATTATATCCTTCCTGAACATCACTTTGCTCGATTGGTTTGCTCAATTTTCGTTGATTAATTAGCCAGGACATTCAGATATAATGCAAATGATGAACTTTCTCCTTTAAGAGCATCCTTCAGTTAATGAGTACACCAGCACTCATTCCAACACTCGAACCGAATGAGTGTCGCCCTGCGGACGCATAAATTATGAATAAAAGCCACTCACACGTGGATAAAGGAGCAAGGATGGGGTTTGGGGGCTTTTATGCCCAGAAGCCGCAGTCTGAGGCCGAGAAGTGTCCTAAATATTTAAATACTTAAAAACCATAAACCTGAGTATTTATAAATTGACTTTAACAAGCTCTCACATGTGTGTGTTTTTGTCCATAAAAGGATAATGGTTTTAGAAAGGTGGAGTATGTCTGTGGGCTGACCCTTTTCGGTCCAAAAGGATATAGCCAGGCTCCATTCATTAGAAATGCTCACTAATGTGCCCGACTTAATAATAATCAAATTTATATGCATGGTTATGTCCTTTAGAGCAGGTCCTGTGAAGTTTCCCAGCAAATCTGAAAATAGATGGGGCGTCGTCTCAGTTTCTCGTCTCTGAGAAATCCTTCTCCGAGAAGGACCTTTGCCTCAAAAGTGTCAATATCCTTGCTGCAGCTGCCCGTTAAGGTGTGGGCCAAAAGAAGAAAAAAACACGCCCAGTGTCTAGTACCGTTACTCTCTGTTACCAGTATTTTTGTTTACTTGTGGCCGACACTGTAATTAAATGGCCAAAAAAGGTCGGCTCTCCTGGGAGATCCTTTTCGGCTGCCCGAGATGGCCCAGGATGAGTCTTGAAAACTTTACAAAAATTAATTACAAATGCTGGGCTCATACAATGTTATGATAGGCAGGATATCCTTCTGATTTGCCAGGAGGAGAGTTTCTTTATTGGCCACACCCCGAACTCTGAATCTTTCCACGACAATTGCAACAAAGACAGCATACATTCGAGCTGAGCAGGATATGTGTCCTGAGGGTTGCTTTGCAGGAGCATTAACCCCTTTGGCTTCTGGACAAGATGGATAGGAACAACAACGAAATAAAAAAAAATTGAAATAAATTACCAAAACTAAAGGCAACAACTGTTCGCATAATGAAGTCAAATTATATTTTTGCCTGAATAGGTTAGGGTGTGTCCTGGTGCCTGGTCCTTGAAATTATGCAAATAGCTGGATGCACTTCAGGCACTACCCCGCATTAGTGTCATCGGGCATTTGCCGAACCATTTCATTGACACGTGGAAGGTATGTACCTCCACTAGGTGAGGTGGCGTCCACTAGGTATGTATGATGTTATCATTTAATTCGTTGAGAATTAACACGGACATTGTCAACCGTAAATGAGCTAATTAATCTAGTAAATGTATCGTCCTCCCACTCCTCCCCAAGTTGTCGCCTTCGCTTGCGTTTTTGTGGTTCTCCAGAGGATCCCCATTGTTGACACGCTTCTCCAGGTGGCAGCGGTTGGGGGAGGCACCTGGACTGGGTACGGGGCTCCCTCGGGGCACTGCCCAAGAGCCCCCAAATGAGATGCACGAATTCCTGTCCGCAGACGAAGCACCTAATAAAATTTTACATTTAATTATGTTGAAAACATTTTCAAGGGAATATCCTAAACTTAGATCTAAGACTCCTTCCTTTTACATATTCTCCTAATTTTTGGCTAACTCTTTCCGACTTCAAATCAATCTTTTGGCCACTTGATGTAGCCGCTGGTGCATTGGTTTCCCAATCTCGGGTATGGGACTCTTCGTATTTGGTCAGGCTGAAAAATAATTTCTTGTTTATGGCCAAGTTGTTTTCACCAGCCACTAAAATGCTTATCGAATGCCGGAGATCACCTGGCGACGAGGCTTGTAAATATTTATGATTTTTTGCGATTTTTGTTGCGATTTTTTCCTCAATGATAAACGAGTTTCTTTCCCGGGATGGCAGACTTGGCCCAAGTCCTTGGGATTGTGGGAAGAAATTGTTCGCCTAGCGCCCCCCTCGGGCCACCTTTAGTTTGTTGAAATAACAAATCAGTAGAAAGGTCTTGTATTTTCAAACTCATACCATTTGCTTTTCTAATGTAAACGAAACCTTTTTTTTTCAATATTTTCTTACTTACCCTCACGAGAACGTTTAGGTCGAGGTTTTGGGTAAATATTTAAACTTGTTGTTGCGATTGTTTTCGCAAAATCGTTGCAGTTGGTCAAACACGTGTTTGAGATAATTAAATTAAATTTACTTGCCTCCGTTTTTTAGCCACTTTAGCCCTGCCACGTGCCACTTTGGACCACCCCCCTTAACAATGAAGTGGCAAACACTTGAGCACTTGCTGCAAGAGTAGTTGCCTCAAAACTTCTTCTTTAAACTGTGGCAAGTGCAGTTTAGCTTTGTTTTCTCAAATACATAAAATGGAAGGGAGGAAAAGGGGTTTCTGGGAAATTCCGGGAAACCGAAAACTTTGGTGGTCTCAAGTGCAGACAATGCAACTGTCATTGCTGAATGGATAGATCTCTGGCATCTGTCACTGGCTCCTCGGAGAATAAACTAAATTCCCTTGAATGCCCGACAATAATAATTGTAATGATGATGATGACTTGAGGAAATCGAGGAAAGGCAAGAAGATTTCGAACTGAAACTAAATATGATTTATTTTCACGGTGTGTTAGCATATAGCAGCGCCTCCCTCATTAGTCGAGGACCGGGTAATTTGCATAAGTGTCCTGGCCCCAGGACGACGCACTCGAGAGGGAAACTAATTAAAATGTTCGCGCCTCAAATTTCCTCCAGACCCTGGCTTATTTATGACCCTGTGAATGTCTTGCATATGGACCTAGGATGAGGGTTTCCAAACTCTGCGTTTCTTGTTCTTATTCTCAACCTCATTTGACTATTTTTTTCCTTTTCATTTTTGTTTACGAGTGACAAATGCGACATTTACATGCGAGTCCTTGCCTTGCTCGCCAGTCGGAGTATGAATATTAAAATTATTCATGGTTTCTGCCTCATTCGAGATGGCGTCTCTGCGATTCCAGATTTGAGAGTTAAGGGGTGTGAGTTGGAGGATATAGAGAAAAGGAAGTATTGAGTTAAAGGATGGTCTAAAGGGTGTGCTTGGGAGATGATTTTTAAAAGATTTTATTGATATTTTACTAAAAAGAACAATAAAATGAAGAGAAATTATATGTTTAAAGATTTGATTATTAGATTTATTATTGGATATTTTAGGAAATCTATAAAATATATTTAAATTTAATTTATATGATAAAATATTATTAATAACGAATAATTTCTGTGTATGTCAGTCCAAGAAGGTGACGAACTGCATGCCTTAGTAAGCAGGAAGAGGTTACGCTCTACCTAAGGAGGTAGAGGCTACCTTCTAAAAAAAGAAGGATTAAAAATGTTATTATGATGATATAATAAGGTAGTAAAATAATTGATATTTTTCTTATTTAAAATAATATAGATCGAATAGATACATATGTAGATATAATAGTTCTTATTTCCTTGTTCCTTGTTGTTCCTCAAAGTTAATCTCCTTACTAATTACAACCGCAAACTACAATTGTGATGAAATTGGAAGCCACCCCTCACCACTAATCCTCTCAAGCTTCATAGAAGAACCAGAAGAGGGCTTCTACCAACAAATTATTTAGCAATTGGCTAGTGAAAGTCCGACATCATGTAAATCCAATTGTAAACAATTTGGAATCAAATTCCCCGAGAACAGGAACGGGGAGTTCAGGGGTCGTGGCTTTTCCGCCATGACAGCTGTCGCGGCCCGGATATTCCGCTGAGGATTGGGCGTGATAAAAGGGGTTAATCGAACACGCGGACCGCACTCTCGGATTGGGGAATTTTCTTCACCTTTGCGGCGAAAAAAAAAAAGAAAATTTGTGAAGAGCAGAAGGGCCGAAGAATCTCCTTCAGGGTATTTTGGTTAATTAGCGATGTCTGGGGACATAGTCTTGTGTTTGCTCTTTTCCGCCGATTTAAACATAAAATTTGTTCCAGCAGCTCTGGGGAAATGTTTCCAGAACTTTTCCAAAATAGACCAACAAGTGAGGAGGGTGGGAGGGGGTACTATGGAGAAATAAGAAATCAGAAAGGGTGTGATGATTCTTAAAAAGATGTGATTCTTTGGTCCTGACACTTGCTGACTTTTTGGCCAACAGGGTTCCGGGGCCTTGTCAGAAGTTAATGAGATTACCACGCCCCTTAAATTAATTCACAGAAAAGTCAAACATCCTCTGGTTATCCCCATCTCTCTTCCTCGTTGCTGCGTTGTTTTCAATCGGTCACAGGCAGAAACCGCAAATGCGGAAAATGCAAATTATTTTTCATCCGAACCCCGGTACCCCTGAACCTGAACCCGAACCTGACAACCAAAAACTGAAAACCCATACCCCACCCCTGACCTTTGTTCTCCTAACGAGGCGTGAAAATTTTGTGGGCGGTGTCGGTTACTAATCCGCACACAGAGCGAGTGGAGAGAGAGGAACTCTGAGAAGAAGTAGGTACTCAAGGATGTTTGACAACTTACTGGCTGCAGGATAATAATGTGCTAAAGTCAGAAGGGTTAAACCCGAAAATGATGACTAATCAACAACGGAAACACAACATACAAGTATTGTTTAAATAAAAGGGAAATTTTAAAGAAGTCCTGTACATGTCCTTAATACCATAATCTTACCATAATTCTATGTATAACCTGTTAAATCTAGTGAATCTCTAAAATTCCTAATTAATACAAGTTTAATTTTTCATTTCCCTTTCATTCTTAAATCCAAAATATTAAAAAATACAAAAAACTTTACCATTAAGCCTAGTACTGAGTTGACGAAAATCCGCTCTTGAAATTCCGCTTGCGAAATTGCACTTTATTCGGCTGGCGAGGTAGTGTGACCAAAACAATGAAGAAATAAGGTAATACTGAACAGCTGTTGTTTGTAAACAAAAAACAAATAAGCAAAAATGAATTCAAAACGATTGGATGTTAGTGTTTTGTTTATGTATTTCGCCGCTAAGGAGCTGATTAAGAAATAGAAAACTGGGTCAAAATCAAAATCCAAATCAATCACAAATCATTTCAATGCCATTTTATGGCATTAAAATGCCCCTTCGGGACGGCCAAATAAATCTTCCCCAATTTCCTGGATGGAAGTAACTTAATACAAAAAAAAAAAAAAAAAATGCCCCTTGTGGGTCAAATCTCATATTATGGGCTTCGTCATGACCGCAGAAATTCATTTTAATTTGTCCTGGCGCGTCGAAAATGTTTCGGGCCGACTATTTTTTTGTTTGGTCAATTGACCCTCCATGTCGCTCCTATACAAATAATTTGAACTATTTATTTTACCTCCCCGAGAGCAGCTGTTTATTTTTTTTGATCCGGCAACACGATAAACATCGATAACAAAAATTTTCGTCAACTCAGTACCCGCAAAATCTAGAAGGCAAAAATTTCTTCTTCTTTCCTTTTTTCCACCGTTTTTTTTATATGGAGTTTGACAGCTGTCACTCGTTGGACAGCGGATTTTCGTCAACTCAGTACTAGGCTTTAGTTTCAATATTCCCACTCAGTCCGCTCACCCACACGCATAAACTGCTTGCTCTGCTGAACTGCTTTGCCGGCCCTCGCCAAAGAGAAGCCATTACCACTGCAACTACCAATCCATTGACCAATCAGCATGCAGCACTCTACGCAATGACATTCTTGTTTTTGTTGGCTCCATTTTTGGGCTCCCCAGCGATTTCGGTTTGGTTGCGGTTTTTAACATTTCGTTACCGTTTCGTTCGGCGTTGACACTTGGCCTCCCAGAAGTGGGGGCCGGAAAGGTGCCTGCCTGGGAATTTAATTGAGCGCCTAGACTGGGACTTGGACTTGGATGGACGAGATCCTAGACACACGCCCCCAACTGGGGACGTTCCATTTGGGTTCCAATTCGCAGCGTTCCTTTGGGGGGGCCCAGTGCTGCATAACAGTGGCGCTCTCTCTCTTTCTCCCTCTCTATCCTTCTGTCTCGTTTACTCTGTCCTGGCCCCATGGCCGCAATACCTCTCTCTCTCATGTTTCTAGAGTCGGTGGCGGTGGTTGGTTTTTTGCTGACAGTTCGGCTCTCCACGGGATTGGCCTCTCGTCATTCGTCGCCACCATATGGCCACCCCCTTTGTTCCGGCTCTACCCTCTCTTTGTTCTGCTGCTGGTCTGGTCTGGTGCTGGTGCTGGTGCTGGTGCTGGTGCTGCGACTGCGACTGCTACTGCTCCTGTGGCGCAGGCTCGTTTCGTTTCCATTTTCAAAACTCTCGTTGGTCGTTTGCTGCTGCTGCTGCCGGCTGCCTGCTGCCTGCTGCATGGTGCTGCCTGGTGCTTTGAAAGCAGCATCGCGACCGAGGATTCAGATGGGGTTTAACAGCCACTCGGGACGGTAACGCGCGCCGCTCAAACTTGTTGCGAGACCAATTTTCCGAAAATCCCAAATTCTCTACGGTGCATTGACTTACATACATATACGTACACGTACACCCACAATCACAATTACAACCACAACCGCAAAACATCTATATATCTATTATCCATATCCTTCCGGGCGTTCGCGTTTTGTTCAGTGACCATTTGAAAAGAAAAGTGGAGAGCTCCAAAGAGCCAGCAAAGAGCGTCAGTTAGTTAGACAGAGAGAGAGCGAGAGTCTGGGAAAGCTTCATTGATTGCCAGCTCTCCAGAGACCAGAAACCAGAAACCAACCCAAACCACAAACCGATCGTATTGGTGTTGACCCGAGAACCAGAGCCTTCAAAACGGCAGCCACAATTTCCAGCGCAGGATTAGGAGACATCGCCGCGGGAGCCAATCCGTACGCTGATCTCCACCAGCATTCGCATCATTCGCACCCGCATCCGCACTCGCATCCACATCCGCATCCATTCGCTAGTGCAGCGCCCCTGACCACCACCGACGGCTTCAAGCTGCGCTCCGAGGAACCGGTGCCGGGCTTCAGCTCGGCCTCCCCCTGGCCCACCCTGGAACTGGGCATGGACTGGGGCCGGAAGCTCTATCCGAGCGCCGTCTCCGGCCCACGTTCCGCCGGTGGCTTGATGTTCGGCCTACCGCCCACCGCCGCCGACATGAACCAGCCCCGGGGACCGATGACCTCGCTCAAGGAGGAGCCCCTGGGCAGCCGGTGGGCCATGCAGCCCGTCGTCGATCAGAGCAAGTAAGTAGAAAATGAAGGGTTCTGGGTTCTATCCTTATAAGTGTGATTATGTGTCTTGGAGTGGAAAAATATAATGAAAGTAGTGACTTTTGAAGTGATCTTTGAGTGCTGGAGTGTGGAGAGTTTTTAGAAGTTGTGGTTACTCAGGTTTAAGGATCTTAAAATATGAAAAATTTTCATAAAATAAGGACCTAATAATAGTGACTCATCAACTTGTTAACTAGGAACTAATTCTGAAGCTGCCTCTAAGAATATCATGAGATTTTAACTTAAAAGTTTATTTAAAAGTAGTTTTTGGCAGGAGTATTTCAAGAATAATTACTTAAAATAGTAGCCTTAGAGGGAGTTTCTTCTATGGATCCCCTTTGCTTTAATTAATGAAACATTAACCATAAAAAAAAGTCAAAAAATTAAAGTGAACTTATAATCCTGAAAGTTCTTAAAATTTCCACACTTTCCTCTTATTTAAAAGTGTTCTAGATATCCTAATAGCCTTGGATAGTGCCAAAATAATCTCTAAAAAAACCAAGCCCTCTCTACAAGTCAGCTTTATAGCAGGGCTCCCCTAATCCCTGATAATCTCTCCCCTAATCACAACCAGCAGTCTCCAAAAACAGCCGGCAACACAATATTGGCAACAATGTTTCGGCAACAAAACGCACGCAGATTCCAAGGTAAAAAAAATTAAAGTCTCCAAAAAGGAAAGCCTCTGGAAGAAGAAAAACAAAAAAAAAGTGCGTTTGTTTACTTTTTGGTCAAAGCCGGCAACGCGTCCAACAATATATGAAGGCCCCTGGGGGAGTGATTCCCAAAACGTAGTAAGTCAGTCAGTCAGTCAGTCGGGGGGGGCGGCGGCAGAAGATGGGAAGATTTTTATGGCCGCCACCCCACAAAACCAAACAACCAAAAAAAAAAAGGAGGAAAAACCACCCACTCGACCAAGATGAACCCCAAAACAAAGGCCATTCAGACTCCCCAGCAGACTCACTCGAAATTTTCACTCAAAATAAGTATATATTTCGAGTTCACGCACTTTTTCGGGTGACTTTTGATGTCTTGTTTTGGGGGGGAGGTGGTCTTGGGCTGTGGGGGAGGAAGTATACTTTGTGAACCTTCTCAAAGGGATGTTACTCGTACTTTTGGAGTGCCTTAGCTTTCACTTTCTCCAAGATGAGATGAGGATGGAGGGTGGCTTTTGTGGCCAAAGCGAAAGCCAAAAGAAAGCTTTTATTTTTCTTGGCTGGTGTTTGTTTAGTTGCGTTTGAGATGTTTCTGGCGTGAGATGTTCGCGCCGAGAAGAAGTGCGCGAGTTGCCCAAATTGAAACCGAAAGCGAAATGACAGCGGGCTTTGTCCATTCAGCGGCGGCAAATCAGCACTCCCACCTGAACCCCAATCCAAACCCACATCCGAATCCCCACTCGCACCAGAATCACAGCCAGCTACAAAGGCAGGACAATCTTGGCCAGGACCATAACCACAATCAGACATTAAATAATAAGACAATGCGCTGTGATACGAGGTAACATTCAAAATATTCATTTTAAAAACCAGTCTTACAATTAGAGAAAAGTCTACTTCTTTTCTCTAATAATCTCCTCATAATACCACCATAATCCCTTTAGAAAATAATCCCACCCTCTCATAAGTTCTCAAACCACAACCTCCTTCCCCCCAAAAAAAGTATCTTTTATGCTTCGATTGGTTTTTTGAAAATTTTCGGGGTTTTTGTTTTCTGAACTTGCAACTTTTTGCGGCAAATAAATCTTGGCAGTTCCGATAATTGTTGACTACTATAATGTATGTATGTGGTTTTTGGGCAAAAACCATTTATTTAAACACTTATCTGGCCATCTAACTGGAGCAGAACAGAAAAGGACTCACAGGACACACAATTGTGTGTGTTTTGGAACTGCTTGTCGCTGCCGAAATAAATCAAGAGAATATTTCGGAATTTATTTCAACAAAGATTCTCCTGGGAATGGTGAAGCCAAAGAAGTTCTATATACAAAGAACGAAACAAACTATGGATTGCAACATAATGTCCATAAAGTGTCCTTAAAGCCAAGTATCCTTTATGGGAGGTGGCTCCTCTCTCGTATATGTGTGGAAAGCAGGCTTTCACGTGCCTGAAAATAGACGAAACGTGACCAACCACCACCCACCTGGCGGCCACCTGGGCATCGATTTGCGACAATTAAATGTTGGCATAATAAAATCAACAGCAAAACGGCCACAAAAATGTTCTACACTTCCATGTCTTTTTTTTTTTTGGCCCTCAAATTGGCGGCAAGTGCAAACAAAGTGAGTTGGCGAACGATTTTCCACAATTTCCAGCCATTCGAGTTGAAAAGTCAACAAATAAAATAACAAAAAAAACGATTCAGGAAGCGAGTGGCGCTTAGGTGGCACAAGTTCCTTTTTTTTTTTTATTTGCCAGGATGTACTCGGCATTATATCGCTGTTCACTTTTCGAACACACCAGCACCAGCACCAGCGCCAGCCAGGACTCCACCAGGACGCCATAACAATAACCTTTCACCAGAATGTAACATGTCTGGCATTTATATGTCGTATATCCCCACACATCCTGCCCCACCATCCATTGGCGTTTTCCGCCCTTACACCCCTCTGGTTCTCTTAATTTGTTAGCATTTCCTTAAAGACATCCTTTAAAGGATGTTTATGGCATTTAATGGCAGAGTGCCACCTCTTCAATCAAAACTATTGAAAACTATGAAACCAAATCCAGTCACTGACTGATACATCGACTCCTTGGGGTATCCAGAGCACTTATTTAATAACTAGGACGCATATCCTTCAAATTCGATTGCATTATCCTGCAGAGGGGGTGAAGGAGAGCTCTATCATTAGCTGATGGCTGGCCACTCCATGCCTGGCATTATCCTTTGGCAAATGTGTATATAATTGCAGGACCCCCGAGTCAGCTGGCCCCGGGACATGTGGTGGCATATCCTGCTCCTTGACATTGCTCCTGTACAAACAAGAGGCGCAAATACAAATACAAATAAAAATACAAGGGGAAAAAATCTGATAAAATCAGCATTTTCTAAATTAAATTGTTCGTTATGCATACAGGACACTGGCGAAAGAGCAGGACCCTACCTTATTCCTGCTGGCTCGACATTGTCCGGTAATTGTCCGCTGACAGGATCAAACGGGGGCAGGGGCAGGAGCAGAGCGGGAGTCGGTAGTTTAGTCTGACATTTAGCATATGGGCTGCAAGGACAAGCCTTTATTCTGTCTGCGGCTCAGTGTCCACGTGTCCTTTACTCCCCACAGATAATTGCTTGGCCCATATCCTGGGCAAAACGCATATGAAATATTTCAAGTGTACCAGGGTATGGAGGAGGAACTGTCATACATCAGGATTATTGTGTCACGTTGAAGTTGCTTATGCGCTTTTAATGATAGTTGTCACTGGCCAGTGTCCACTGTCCACTGTCCGCTATCTAGTGTCCTGTGTCCACTTCAAGCTGCTGCTTGAATGTCACTCTCTACCCGTAATTGAGTTGTCCCTAATTCCTGGCAAGAAAACTACTCCCGCACTCTGGACATTCTGCTGCCAATTAGAGCCTCTTTAGGCCAGGCCTATGTTTACCCAACTAATGGCATAATTACTGTCCTTTCCTGTACATTCTACTAATTTTTGTCTCATTTTTTTTTTGAAACAATTGCAGTTTGGGCATCGGCCGCGCCCACTTTGAAAAACAGCCGCCCAGTAATCTGCGAAAGTCGAACTTCTTTCACTTCGTGATCGCCCTCTACGATCGGGCTGGGCAGCCCATCGAGATCGAGAGGACGGCCTTCATAGGATTCATCGAAAAGGACTCGGAGTCGGATGCCACCAAGACGAACAATGGCATCCAGTACCGATTGCAGTTGCTCTATGCCAATGGTGAGTTTTAATTAGGAATATAGCTTATAGATTAAAAATATTATTGATTTTTTAAAAACCCCTTACAGGAGCCCGCCAGGAACAGGACATATTCGTGCGCCTTATCGACTCGGTATCCAAGCAGGTGAGTTTATATAAATTAATTAAATAAATTTTGATTGGGGAATCCTTCCTAGTATCCTTTTAAGGATAAAAACTGTAACCAGTCTATGAAAAAGTAATTCCTTCCACTTGGCTGGCTTCGTGCATTGTTTGTTTTGCTGATTCGAGCATAAGTTGCATTCGAAATTGATTGTCACGGCTAATTAAGTGTGTCCTGGCGTGTCCTTTGGCCGATAAATTGAGTCGTCAAACGAGCAGTTCATTCGCACGACTTCTCCCCCAAAAAAAACCCCCTGGTTGGTAAAGGAAAGGGGTGTAACCGGGTGAGAAAATCGAGAGAATCGCACTGGGATCGAACATGGTTAATGCGCTTTGTTGTGGGTGCGTGCAAGTCCTTCTGAGGGAGTCCTTCTTCGGCTCCTGCTGCACCATATGTTAGCTTTTGTGGGCCTAATGCTCGAGCATGGCTTGGTTTGCCTTTTTCCCTTTCAAGGGCAATTAATTTCTCGAGTGACAAATTTTTATAGACGTTGGTCCAACCTATGCCCAAGTCTTATCCATTAACCCCCTCGCGCCTCTCGATTTTTCTCCGTTTTGTGGGCGTTTCTTGCCCATTTAGCCCATTCGCATCAAAAACGAGCTCGCAATAAATTTGTCCACAAATTATCGACAGCAGTGACATCGCCCCCTTTCTCTATACATATATTTATTTCCCTTTTTTTTGTGAGAAAACCATTTAATCGCAAAAAAATATTCCCAATACTGCCAATTGAATTCTTCGAAAAATAACAATCAACATTAAAGATTAGTGACGAAATCAGTTCCTTTTTTTTTTGGGGTTTATTGATAAGAAATTGGTTTTATATTTATTTTAATTAGTATTACGCAGTTATGAAAAATATATATAATTGTGCGTCACTGGCCAGGACTTAATGGGTCTTTGAGGGAATATTACTATTCCCGATAAGAGGTTTAGATTCCCAAATGACAAATAAATTATACACTTATTTCGAATTTCTATTAATAAAATAAATATCAACTGGAATGAACCTAATAACTGATATTTATGCATATTTTTCAAGATATCGATTCATTGATACCCTAAAATAGCCAGATATGCCCGACTTGTGATGAATTTTGGAATTAACCTACCCCTAACCGGGTCGGTTATATTTATTTTTTGGATTTGGAAAGTGTCGCAAGCTGGGAAAAGAACAATCATTTGATCGGATTAGGTGGGCTTCCCTTTTTTTTTTTTTTTTTTGAATTTTACATTTCTGATGTCGCGTGTCGGCTTTGTTATCGGATTGCGTAACAGGTAAGGCGGGGATAAGCGAGTGTTATCGCAGTGGGTGGGTTGGGGGCGCCGGTGTAGAGTAACTCGAAACTGTGGCAGGCCGAATGCGATTAAAATGGGAATTGTCTCAGGCTGGGAACTGAGGCGGAAGCAATCGTTGGAAGGCTCGACGCAGGACAATTGTCAGAATGTCACGTGGCCAGAGGAGCGAGCAAGGACAATGGCCAACCCTTGCAACCCCTTTTTTCCAGGGCTAGGGCTAGGCTGGGCGGCAGGCAAATGCAGCAAATCATGGTCATAATCATAATTACATTCGATCAGATAACGGTACCAACGAACGAACGAACGACAAACCGTTCGAATGGGAGGCGTCGCAATTGCAATTTGAGCTAACGATGGAACCACGGAAAATCGCCTCATTTCGGCGATCATATTTCATTTTCATCATCAGCCGCCACAGAGTACGGGTCCAGCATAAAACAATGGGCAAAGGAAAATCCTTTTCCCCGCTTTTTCCTGTTTTTGGCCAAAATTGCTGTTATCGCGATTTATACGCTCACTAATACTAATACGCACATCCCCTCTCATCCTCGTCCTCATAAAAGCGCATCGAAATTTTAAACCCAAAAAAGAGAGAGGGGGAATGCCGCCGATTAATGCATGAAGATAAAACGAGATGCATGCTTGGTGCAAAAAAAAATTAGATAATCTAAGGACAAGGACCTCTCTGCCTAATAACGATAGTGTTTCTTTTTATAATTCCTTTTAAATAATTTACAAATCATTGTTTAAAAAATAAAACAATTTAAAGCACCATAAAAAGAGACAAAAGACAAGGAAACAAGCCCCAATTTAATGACAATATAGTACTATACATCCATCCCGTTTCCGCCCCCTTTGTCTGCGCCTCTTAATTAAGCGATAAAATTAATTTGTTTGTCAACACTTAAAAAGCCGAGAGAGAGCGAGCATCATTTTCGATTATTAACAAATTGTGCATGCTGGCTTAATGGTAAATTGTTATTGTAAATATATACATTACTGTTTGTTGTTGTTGGCGCTTTTGGGGCCAGCAGCCGCTCAATAAATTCAACAGATTGCGGGAAAATCTCCGCATTTGCATCTCACTCGTGTGGGGGCTGCTGGACGAGTCTGTCTCGCTTTCACTCACTCTCTCTCCGCCCCAATGCTGGCAATGCGATTAAAAATGCTTTCACGGCAAGTGCATTTCTGCGGTTGCCAGAGCGAGAGGTAATGAGGAAAAAAAAAATGGTTCCTGGCGGCATATCGGCCTTATTATGCGAAATGTGTAATGCATGCATGGAGGCTGGCTCTTTGAAATTCTTGCGGGCCCCACTGGGGACCCTTTGACTCCATAAAGGTGTGAAAGCTGCCCGGGGTCACAATATCTTACTATAACTAGGGGAAATACATATAAAGCAGCAAATATAAATAATACTTTAATGTAGGGAACCCTTTTTCTCAAAAAATATGCAAAGATCCTTAAAATAAAGATGAAATAAATCTGTCCTTTCCTTTTGTCCTCTTTAAAATACAGCAACAACAAAAAAAGAGAGTGTAAAGCGGATGCAAGAGTCCTTGCAACAGTGTAACCTTTTCTGGGCAATTTATGCGTTGTCCTGATAAATGAAGCTTTAATAAATTAAGAGCCACCCTGCTTCTGATATATTTTTTTTATTGTTTGGCCTTTCAGGAACGTATATTTTTTTTTAACCCATTCGTTGGGTCTTTTGTGAGCGATAATTTATCTTGTTTGGCGAGATTTTTGTTTGGCACGTTAAATATGCAGCATGCAGCATGCAACATGCAACAACATGGTGCATTCAAGTGCGTGAATAATGCAACCAATGTCGATTCATTTTATTCCAAAAGCGATAATAACAATTTGCAAAAAAAGGCGGAAAAAAAGGATGGACCTTTCCCGGAGTTTCGATGGAAAATCGTTTAAAATTTAAAAGCTACCGAGGCTCATCCTGTTTGGACCCCCACCTCCATGTGGGTATCCTTTTTCTGACTGGGCTGTCATCACTTCATCACTCGCTTTTTTTCCGCATTTTTTTCTGTGCTGTTTTGTTGGCCAGCTTCCTGCTCCTGGATCCTGTTCTTTGTCCTGTTGATAAATCGTAGTTTAAACGCTTTTACTTCAGTTTTAGTGGCTTTCGTTTAGTTTCCTGTTTGTTTTTGGTTTTTTATTAGATGAGCCATTTAGCCTCGGCTTTCCAGCTCCTGACTCCTGACTTTCGGCCACAAAACACTGACGGGGAAAAAGGATACAAACTAATTGTTTGTTTCTGCATCCCACCGCAAGGATGATGGATGATGATTTCTGTTGTTTTCCTCTAACAGGATTTGCTTTTGTGGGGCTAGTTTATGGGATTATCTAAAGCTATTATCCTTTTTTAAGAAACCCACTTTGCTATTCTTTCTTTCCCCTTAAAGTTCTATATAAACAGGTGACAACTACAAGTTATCCCACCCAGCAAACTTTATGGTCCTGCCACACACTATACCCCCATAAAAACATTGAAAATCCATTACCCCGGACAGGGATAAAAAGGACACATCCCATCCTTGTCCGGCCTATAATTAGCTGCACTCCGTCCGGGCCAGGTTGAATCCGTAATGCCGTACATATATTGGACATTGAGCCGGGCCATCGAGAGCTGGTGAGCTCTGATCCTTGAAGGAAGGAGGGGAATTATTAACCTGACAAACGGGATAATAAGGGATGATCATAATTTTACATGCGCCCAGCTAATGCCAAGAACAGCAGGAGGTCGCTCTAAGGGGGAGGGATTCAGGACACTCGGTAGAGTCTGTAGAGTAGCTCCTGGTTGCATTAAAATTAATTTCTGATTATCTATTTGGTTGGGCACGGAGCTCGGAGTTTGGCATCCCGTTGGCTGGCAGTACGCATCCTTGGCTCTTGTATGCACATATGTTGATGACGTCAGAGGAACCACTCGTCCTTGACGGCAAGTGGCGGGATTCTTCATCTCCTCTCACCTCCCCTCTGGCGGTAGAGTTTCTACTTTTTTTTTATTTCAATTTTTTTGGTGGATGAACACACGGCTCAGGTTTTTGGCTTCCTCACTCTCGGTTATTGTTATTACTTTTGCGTGTATCTCCTGGCAGTTGATGAATGATCCTCCCTCACCCCCCCTTGCCCACGAAGCGTGTGTCCTTTACCCCTCTCAACCGGCACCCCTCCGCTCGCACATCTCACTCGCATATGCCGTGTTTTTCGCCAAACTAATTCGCCGGATGAGTGTTGGATTACGGTTAGGGAGGATGGGGTAACAAGGACTCGTGCTTTAATCATTTTTAAATTAGAGTAGCATGCGCCTTTTTGTTTGTGGCAGACAGTAGTGGTGCTACTGCTCCTGCTCCTGCCACCCCCTTGAACTGACATCGTTTGTTTATCTATTTGTTGCTGGGGACTTTGAGAGGTTTCCGGGTTTTCGGGTGGTCGGTTGGTTGGTCGGGAAATTGCAGCAGATTGTCTAACGCTGCACTTGCGGTTGCTGTTGCTTCCACATGGCATGATTCCATAGAGCCACCCAGCCTTCCAACCAACCACCCCCTTTGCCGCACGCCTCACTTTCCATCCCAGTGAAACAAAAACAAACACCCAAACTTCGAGTGGGCAAATACAAATACTAGAACAGCATAAACCTGCCCCGATCCTGGCTCGGAATATTATTCATGCGGAGAGGTAAAAATTGTGGACTTTGTCAATATTTGCATTATGTCCCATATGTCGATTTGCTGGCAGGAGCCGGGCTCGGTGGCTCCTGTAATTAGCATTTATGTGTGTTTGTCTTTGGCCCGAAATGATAGTTGATAGGGCCACCACTCTGCGGGGGTTAAGTCGGTCGGTCGGTCGGTCGGGTGTCGATAGCCGTGGGTTAATAACGGGGTCATGTTGGGATTACTCAGCTAAATGGCAGGTTGGTTGGCGGGTAAATAATTAGTAAGCTTAAAACCTCCTCCAAGACAATTCCAACAGCACTAATATTGATCCTTATTCTGCTTTCAGGCCATCATATATGAGGGCCAGGACAAGAATCCCGAAATGTGTCGAGTCCTGCTAACGCACGAGGTGATGTGCAGGTAAGTCCTTATCAATAATATTCCTCCTTTATTACTCCCTTTTATCCTTTTTGGCCATCCACACCTTTTTTTTGATACTGATTTTCGAATCAGAATCAGAATCAAGTCTCTGGGGATTCTCCATAGAGCTCCTTTAAGTTCCTTGTTTTAGCTTTATCCTTTTGTACTTTTTTTTTTCTTTCTGGCTGGCTGGTGGCTATGAGCCACTCAAATTATAGAGACCTGAGTTTTCATTTGTTTTCTGTTGATTTTTTGTGTGATTTTCTGGGGAGTTTTCTTACGCTTTTCCACAAGCTTTATTCTGCTTTAATTTTGTTGACTTTTAAGCTCCGTCCGGCTGCTCGACGAAGGAGCGCAGTGTGTCCTTCGTTTTATTTTCACGCTCAAACGCACGCGAGCTGAAACGTATAAATGGCACGGCTCCCCCGCCGTCTCCGCCTGCACGGCCCTTTACGGCCTCCGCCCACGCCACCCCCTTGGCTGCTGTTGCTACTGTTCACCCTTCTAGCAGCTTTCTGACAGTTGAAGGTTGCGTAGAAAATAAAAACGGCTCAGTCGGCAGGCAGCCCACTGCCCAAAAAAAAAAAAACGAAAGAAAAAAAATTATAACACAGCTTTGGCCGACAACCAGCCTCCCCACCCCCTGGCAGAGTCCTTGCTGGCCGGCCATCTTTTATTATTTCGGATTGGCACCCAGTTTTTATGTTTGCGTAGCATTATCAAAAACAAGGGGACAACGCACACATATACAGAGACGCCACAAGGATAACAGGGGTTGCAGACTCCCACTCGTAGCAAGGACGAGAGAAAGAGAGAGAGAGGGGCGACTTCTTTATCGTTTTGGCTTTGCGCCCATTTCAGTCATCCATGTTTATGTTATATGCCCGGCAAAGACCCAAAGCCGGGTCCAAGCCAAAAATACCACCCCCAAGGATGACCCTCTCAGTCAGCCCAATCTCATGCCACCCCACCATCGCCCCACCATTGCTTTTTTTTCTAGCTAGCCCAGGGGCTGTGCAGTCGAAAAATTACGCAGCCATTGAACTCGATATAGATATAGGTACATGTGTGTCTATATAGATGCAGATAACACGGATAAGTCCCAGGCAATGACAAATGTCTGACCTCGAAAAAAAGAGGAATAGATAGCATCCTAACATACTTTTTAGAATTAAAGCTTTTTAAAGTTAAATAAGAGTTAGAATTTAAGCTTAGAAAATATTTATAGAAAATATTAATCATACGCCCCATTGCCCTAAGACTTAGAACCCCAAAAAGTAGGCTTTAAAATTATTATTCAAACCTAAACCTCAGATATAGTTTCTTTTATTTAAGATTTAGTCTTAATTTTAAACTAAATTTAAATTTTTATTTATTTCTCTATTTTTTAGCCGCTGCTGTGATAAAAAGAGCTGTGGTAACCGCAACGAAACGCCATCGGACCCCGTCATTATTGATCGGTAAGTAGCCCATAGTTCATTCCCCGTAACCGTAGCCATAGCCTGGCGTTGCATCCAATCTATGTCCAGGACCATGTCTCGTCCTGTTGCACAAAAGATGACATTTTAAGCTGCTTTTCATCATCATCGTGGCTGGGTCTTTTCTTTTTTGTCAGCCTGGACTGCGGCTGGTGTATGGTGTATGCGTATCGTTGATTTATTGGCATTATTATCAACTGCAATATAAAACACGATGCGGCAGACATGCAAAGAGCATCCCTACCCCCAAAGAGTCCTTTAGCCAGGACTCAGAGATGAAAGCACTCGTTGAAACTGAAGCTGCAGAGAAAACAAAAAGTTCATCAAAATGGCAGCTACGCAAATTCTATTTTCATAAATTGTAAATTGAGACGAGTTCGCGGCAATCTGACACCCCCTCAATATTCCATTTCCGCCCGAAAGGGGATTCCCCAGCCACCAGCCACCGCTTCCTCCTCCTGCCATTCCTCCTCCTGCCATTCCTCCTCCTGTCGCGTGTCAAGCGAATTATGTTAATTGTATGCACATCCTTGCGGCTGGCAAGAGTCCTGGGAGCGTGCCCGCTCTAATTGGCTTCGGAAATATTTATTTGAGTGACGGAAATTACAGAAACCAAAAATGCAAAACAAATTTTTATGGTTTGGAGATGATTTTTAAAAAGGAGGGGAATCTTAGTTCCACTTTAAAGACATCCCCCCATTGATTCAAATAGATTGCCCTTTCTGGGGCATCATCATTGAGTTGTTAAACAATTTTCCAGTCCCCAGGCTCCATTAAATTGAGGCACACCTTATGCAGATGATAATCATCTCTCAGCTCTGTGTGATTCCCCGTAACACAAGATCTCCCACTGAAGGACCTCCCGCGAAGGGTGTCCCCGCATATTTGCCTATTCCCGGTGCCAGCTTCTCCATTCCAGCTAGCATTTTCCATTTCCATTTCCGAGGACTGCCCAGGAAGGTATTCCTCGAATCGAGATCTCTGGCTTGGCACGAGAGTCTTGCGGGCATAATGATTCTATTATTAAAAGTGGACGGGAAAAGTGTCTGGCCGGCTAACCGGTTGGCTGCCAGCCCGACAATCAGCCCATAATTGGTGTCATAATTAAATTTAATTGATTGCCTCTTCTGGACTATGACGAGGTTCTATGTCTGCCAGTCTCGACCCTCGACTGTCTCTTGGCTTGCAAATTTGGTAAAGGCCTAAAACCCAGTGGCCAGTGGCCAGTGGCCAGTTTCTGGTCGCAACACGAAAAACACGATCTCGGCAAGATCACAAGCCTCAACTCTGCACAAGCTGCACATTTATGATCTTGTTAAAATTGCTCAGCGTGTTTGCTCTAGAATGGATCCACCATAATGCCACAGTAATGCCACAGTGTCGTCATCCGTTGGAATAACAGTTACACTTGGCACATCCACACGTGGCATCCACTCCGGGTGCAACACTTTTCGTCCGATATTTACGATTATTAATTCATTTCTTCTCCAGTTATTTGCCTTGTTAGCCGTGATGGGGCAAGCTCATGTCTTGCCACATTTAATCCTATTTAGAGATGGTAGCGTGATTTTCTGACTGGAATTCAAGGTTATTTAATAGGAGAACAATATTGTTAGACTTGTATAGACATCATATTTGATTAATTTTGGAAAGCCCTCATATTTTTTTGTACCTTCCGTGTCACGCTCACACCTGTAAGCTCCTCAGTTTTTGTCGCATTTGTCAGGCGGGCTGTAACTTTTGTCGGCATGGCATTCCAGAGGCAGAAAGCCTGGACGCAGGCGCATATCAATCACCAGCTAAAAACACTCCCAGCTTGCAGCTCCTCCTTACTATCCGTTTAAAAGGCGGCATGGATCAGAGTGGGTCCCAGCCAGGCCATGCCGCCTCCTCCACCCCAGCCCGCTCATTGATATGCCAGTAGATCATGCCGCCGGCGGGAAGACAAAGACCCCGGGATAATCTATCTGTTCGCAACTAAATTTTGCCACAACCTAACCAGGAGAGGGGGTAGGAGGATCCAGCTAAAGCGCTAACTTGCCCGGAGGTCCCAAGCACTCAACCACTCACCCATAACATTCACCTCCTTTATAACATAAGATGGTAGGCTCCCCCTTGCGGAAGCCCCCCTTTGGAAACTTTGTCAGCGGCGCGCAACAATTGGAACTGATTGAAAATTCCGAATCCCGGGGACACTGGCTTGCATTTCAAAGTGAGGTTGACGAAAGCCAAAAACTGATACGATATGACAACAGCAACAGTCCAACAACACCAGTTTGGAGTCGCGGCTACCAAGTGCCTGTTGGGGCACTACCTACCGAATGGCTAACTCTCTTAGCCAGACTGACGTTCGAACGTGTGCCGTGAGAGTTGCTTATGTTTGTTGTTGTTGTTGTTGCAATCTCAGTGGCACTACCAGTGGCAGCCACAACTGCTGCAACAGCAACAGTAGCTGGGGCAACTGGCAACATTCGCCCGGCGATCTGCACATGTTTTATTGATGAATTTCTGTTATTCATGCAGGGGATCTGCAGTTGGAGGCTTTGGAGATGCCGAAATTGTGCACACAATGAGCTAGGGTACAGTGGGTTAAGACTAGGAAATGTAATCAAAGGGTTAATATAAAAATACAAAGATATAAAGGAAATATAATATAATAATATTCAACCTTAAAAGAAAGGCTTTTAAAAGAATATGGTTTTAATAAATAGGTTTCTTTATAACATTCTTATTACTAGACCCAACTATTAGTATATGTATTAGTTATATATTTTAATTAAAATCATTCCCAGACACTGTCGGGATTTGCAATTACCTGGGGCAGGTGATGAGGGCTTAGTGGCAGGCACTTCGATCTCGTCTCGGTTGCAGTCTTGCCCTCTCTTTCCCTTCGAGGCTTTTTTTTTATTTATGATTTGCGAGGACACTCGCGCATTGTCTCCGGGATCGGGACTGGGATCCACCGCCTCCGAGGGCGAATAAGTATCGGATCGATACAGGTCGGTTTCGGAGGGGAGCAGACCATATCCCCGTCCCCGGCTGGCTACCTTTTTCCCATTTTGTTGGCATCCACTTCGTGTGTGTTCCATAATTAAGTGAATTTAAAGCTCACTTCGGCGGTGGTCGTTGTTGTTCTTGTTCGCATTGTTGTTCAGATTGTTATTGTTGTTTTTGTTGTTTGTCAGTAGAGGTATTCGTGTTGTTGTTTCAGCGACATGTTTCACGTTTTTGTCACACATTTCCATCAAATGATCGAAAAGTGTGTGTTTTGTGCTCCATTTGTTGAATATAATTCTCGATCCACATCTGGCATATGTATATATGCGTAATAATGTGAGTTCTATCAGACAGCCGTGCAATTAAAATCCTTATCGCGTGACCAGAGACACAATTGACTTTTTAATTTGAATAAAATTGTGAGGCAATCAACTATACTACACTACCCCCATAAATACCCCCCATATAATAGCTAAAAAAAACTAAAAAAAATCCCAAACGAGCTGTAATGTTGGGGGGGAGGGGATAAAAAAAGCTCTCTGGCTAACAATCGAAAATTTGCCACTCTTGCATTTATCTACGTCATTGGCGTTTTCTTCGCTTTATTTCAATTTTCTATAGTATTTGCCCGGTGTTTTCGTGGTGTCCACCACCAGGGCCAAATAAACTAAGTGCCAACTCCCAACCAGGCCCTGCCTCCTGCCCCGCCAGAGTCGGCAACAAATAGAATTGACATTTTGTGGTGTCCAATATGCAAAAAAAAAAAGGTGGAAAGGAGTAAAACACTCGCAGGCAATTGAAAAGGATAAGGTTTAGTAACAAAGGATATTGCTACCTTGGAAGAATACTCTTAAAAATCGATTCAGATGGTCTAATATTATAGTTAAAATTATTAAATGAAATTACACATTTTTTTATAATTTTCCTGATATCATACCCTTGCAATTATCCTTGACTGTCCTGCGTGAGGTGAGCCAATGTTTTGGGCCATTCATTCATCGCATGCCTTGATAATCGCACTCGGGCTAAAAATGATGACAAAACTGCTAGTAGTTGTGGGCCACAGTTTTTAATTTTCTAAATGCATTCCAGCCACCTGGCTGATCTAGGGGGAGGGTACAGTGTTGTCGTCCTGTCCTGTGTCCTGCGCTGCCTGGCACAGGCAAGAAGAGTCCTTGCCAAACACGAAACACGAACGGTTCGCCTGCTCAAATATTCAAAGCGAGGCAAACACAAAATGTTGAAAAAAAGACGAAAAAAAAAATATAAAAAGCCGGAGAATTTTGACGGCATTTGCGGTCAGGCATCGACAGAACTCGCCATGAAATATTGGGCAGACATCGCTGGCAGACAGACCATAACAGTTAATTATCGATAAAGATATGAGCAGGCAACGCATATTTCTCGCTTTTTATCATTCAGCCGTTTGTTGCCACACCGCACCATGCCACACTCCACTCCATGCCACACTCTACTCTTTTATGGAAAAGTAATTTTCATAGACTTTAACGATTACCTTTGAAGTGGAAACAATTGAGTTTCCAATGGGTCTTTTTGGTGTCGAACTGCACTTGATTTTTCACCTCGTAAATCAAACATGAAAACTGGAAAACTGAAAAATGGAAACGAACCGGAACACCGAAAATGCCAATTGAATTTTTGCATTTCAAAGAAGTTGGGAGTTCGGGCCAGGTATGGCACATTTGCATATTTGTACTAGACAGTGTCTATTGAAATTGAATTATTAATGCAAATTCGATCCAAAACGCTGTTTCTACACACTTTAAATTGCCATTTTGGCAGGTCTACCAAAAATTGCCATTTCTCCTGGGATTATGCAGTTTATTAAATCATAAATTTCTATTTCTGTTACAAATTTTCAGCTGAAATTTAGTCGATAAGGTTAAAGTTTATTAATCCACAAATAGATATCACAATTAACCCTTTAAATGACGGGAATTAACCATTCTAATGTGCATAATTGAGGTAACCATATGGATTTAAAATGCACAGATCTAAACTACATATATTGTCTTTGTCTCGGCTCATCATCTAGGGATAAGCTCATCTATTAGTTGGTGTGTGTTAGCCATTTCCTCGGCCATTTACCCCTCTTGCATAATTAATGGTATTAAAAGCGTTAACTGACACACACACACACAGGCTCACAGACATGCGGAAATAGTTGGCATAATTCGAGCATTTCAATGAGGTCGATAATTTGATGGTTGAGTGGAGAGCAAAGGAAAAGGTCACACATCCACATCCTCGCCCGGCACGGCAAGATACATTTGTATCTCGATGTCTGCTACGAGCTACTTTTATCGTTGTCTGATATCTAACCTCGATATGGTGAGTGGGTGGATGGAGCTGGGTGGGTGCGTGTGTGTACGAAAATAATCAGTTTAGAGATGAAGAAATCCCAAAAACAACAAGATGCTACCAAATAAAAACAACAACAAAGAAAGGTATTTCCCCGGTCCCAACGGCATGACTTTCGGTCCCAAAGCAACCCCCAACAAAATGAATACAGACAGAGAGATTCATTCAATGGAATGAACTCGAGCCATAAAAAGCTCACTCCGCATCCGTAAGATACACTCCAAGTGTCACTCACTCGACTCACTTTCGCTTTCACTCTCTTATCGGTGGCGCGAGAGCGAGAAGTGAAAGTGAAAGTGTTTTCAACAAGTTCTCTTCCGGCCGTAAAGGATAAACGTATCCTGCACGCAAAACAAAACAAGAACCCACACAAACTTCACCCCCTTTTTTTTTTTTTTTGCCCAAAAGGAGTCTATTATAATACAAAGAAACAGCGCCAGGATGCAAGGGGATGACTAGGAATCCTCGCAGTTAGCAGTTCGCAGTTCACAGTTCGGAATCCTTGGGCTGCCAAGCGTGGAGCGTTAAGCCGAGAAAGAGCATAAATAAATAAAGCCCGGCAACAATAGAAAAGCACCAACAACAAAATGGTGACTTCATCCTTGTCGGCTGACGGCCATGTTTTCTCTGACTCTGTATCCTTGTATCCTTGTAGCTGTGAGTGTGTGTGTGCTGTTTTGGTGGAGAGAATGCCACAAGGCATAGAAATGGCGCGAAAGTAAGTTTTCGCATTATTTTCAAGCCTCCACCCACACCTCCCCCGCACAGCCATAGCCATTGAGTTTATGCGACAATAAAGTTGAAAATTTTGAATATTATCGTTAGTGAAAAATTAGAGACAAGTTGCCAGTGACTCGCCCCCACCTTCAGCTCTTCTGCTCACCTGCTCTTCCTGCTTTTTCGAGGTCCTGGCGTGCGCCAAAAACGCTCGTGGCTCCTTACGGCCTGTTCACGCCATTGCCCGATAAAATCAGCGGCAAAACGTGGTTGTATCCTGTGAGTCCTGTGAAAGCCTGTGGAGGAGGCAAAGCGATTTATGTTCGCTGAAAATTCATCATTAAATTTGTTAGCCTGCTCTCGGGGCGATGCTAAGATAATGCCACATAATTTGCTTTTGGCTCTGTTGCTGTTTCGCAAATTTACAGTCAATCGCTTGTTGGCTCAAAAAACCATAAACACCAAAAAACTTCAACGCTTTTGGGATAAAGATACTTTTGAATTTATTTCAATTTTCTGTGTCCGCGATGAGCTGGATAAAGGAGGGTCTTGAGGTTGAGGTTAGGAGCTATGAACTAGGAAGGAAGTTTTAGAAAAGATAACATGTTTCAACACTTTTAGCCAAAAAATGAGAAAGAACAAGGGTCTTGAGGTTAAGGTTCTTATTTTTCAACATTTTTTAACCTCTTTCCTAACAAGTTTTGTAGATCCTCTTGGCCATATTGCTTCAAGCTCTGTTCTGAAATAAAATTAAAGAATAAAGAAGTCCACCCACCCAGTATTTTTTTCCAAAAAATCACCGCCCAGTCAGAGACGTTTGCCAGGTCGCGACTGTCCCACCTCCCTCTCCCAAATATGAATGACCAATTATGCACTTCGTTGGCGCTACGTGACCTGACCTGCCAATAGACCGCCATCGGAAATAAACCCTCCAGGTGGCCCCGCCGATGTCATGTGCGAACATTTGATGATGCGTAGCTTTTCATTAAATGAAAATTTCGCGTTGCTGGCAAAGCAACAAAAGGCCACTTCCGAGCCAAAAAAACAAAGAAGAGGCCAAAAGACGGCAAACTTTGTTGCCACACCAAAATGGAGCCCAAAATGCCCGAAAGAATGGGCGGCCAAGATGGGAGACACTTTGATTTATTGGCAGGACGCGACTGGAATTTTTAATTGCCGGTGGAGAGATGGCGGGTGGATGGGTGGATCCCGAAAGGAAATCTAAAATCCAGCCTGGTTGATGGGGAATTGAATTGGTCAGGATTTGTATTTGTCAACTGCATATCTGGTCTAGAACTCGGTCTGGAGACAAAGACATATGCAAATGAAGAGTCACACGAAGGGAAGGCAGTGAGAATTTATGCGTCCTGTCAGGATATTTTGAAAACATTGTAATTCAAGCGCAGCGAGGGCAGGATGCTTCCGAGAAAGTCAATTAGCTGGCCATAAAAATGCAGGCTCCGCCCGGGAAGTGATGATGTCCCTAATCCAAGTACCTCCAAGGGATGAAGTCATACTGCTAGCAAGTGAAATTAGGATTCTAGCTATCCATCCATCCTCCTCTCAATAAACACTCGATACGTATTCAAATTTCAGGTTTTTTTTCAGAGTGCCCTGCAGTTGCATCTGTAGTGTAATACGATATTGTATCTGACAGATACACGACTCACAGCTCTCGGGGGATGGCAGTTCATGGCCTGTGTTAATGATGATGAGGCTGCGCCGATGTTCTTTTTTTTTCGCTGTAATGGATATCAGCATCCACACACATCTGTTTCCATTGCAAAGTCCGACAAGTTCACAATTACTCTCGATAAGCATTTGAATATTATTCGAAAAGCAGGGAAATACTGTTCGATATAATATCCCAAGGTTATGAGTAATGGATTGCTTTTATTTCCACATTAGTTTTTATCAATTTCAATTATAATTCTCCGATTTTTCGGCATATCTCGAAGATGTCAATGCTTTATCGGCTTTTTATGGAAGATTTATGATTTTAGGAAACCAGAATTTCCAGAACACCAGACATTATTATTCACACCAGCCCTTTTTCAAAGGGGGTACTTCACATTAATAAAAAAAAGTGTCAAGAGTGTAAACAAATTTGGGACACTCCCATCGGACAAGGACATATGCAGGGATGCCACCCGCTGGCCAGTCAGGATCAACCCTCCCAGCTACCAGCTTCCTGCTTCCTGCTACCAGCTTCCTGCTAATTTGTCCAATTTGTCGAGTGAAAAGCAACACAAAAAAAGAAAATATGATGAAAATTGGCGGCACAACGCCACCAGTTTGTGTCCTCACACCCCCCGCTGATCGGAAAGGAAAATATTATTTCTGCAAATAAAATCATCAGACCCCGGGGGGAAGAAGCGGGGGGAAACCCGGGGAAGGAAATTCTGATAGGGTCATATCATGTCGCCGGCGGATATATAAAAGTATTTCAGCATTTAAATGCACCGCACACGGGTGTCAATTTCCCATTGAGCTCAGTTCAGTTCAGTTCAGCCCAGTTCTGCTCACATCCTGGCCGCAGGACATTCGCCTGCTGTCACCCCACTTATCGTAAAGGGCACTCGGCGGCTGGAGCCGCGGGGCAAACATCTGCCCAGAAAAAAGAGAGCAAAAAGGACTCTACTCTGGAACAAGTGTGGCAGCAAAAAGGCGCAACCTGTCATTAGCGGCTCGTAAAGTCGCGACTCCGAATCCATCGTTAGGACTCTTAATTGAAGCTTTGAATTCCGACAATTTTCAGCCAATAAAGAGCATTATTTTGATAGCCATCCATAATTAAATCCTTTTATTGATCTGTAATATCCTTCTGTTGCAGCTTCTTTCTCAAGTTCTTCTTGAAGTGCAACCAGAATTGTCTGAAGAATGCCGGCAACCCGCGGGACATGCGCCGATTCCAGGTGAGTTTATCTTCTAGAGAGGTGATCCAGCCAAGTGCTTATGTGATATTTTTATTTCCCATTTAACCAGGTGGTCATCTCCACACAAGTGGCCGTTGATGGACCATTACTGGCCATCTCCGACAACATGTTCGTGCACAATAACTCGAAGCACGGACGAAGGGCCAAGCGACTGGACACCACGGAAGGTACAGGCAACACATCCCTGTCCATTTCCGGTCACCCCCTAGCGCCCGACAGTACCTACGATGGTCTGTAGCAAAATTCCAATTATTCCGACCAATTTTTCGTTTTTGCGTAGAGCTCTCCCCCAAATCCCCACCAGCCCCCAGTTTCCACCTTTTTTGGTTTTTTTTGTAGCAATTGGCAAATCCAAAAGATGTGAACGCATCCCATCGACATCCTTACTCAATCGAACAATTTTTGGAATATTTTTGTTACTCTTTACAGGACTGTATCCACCTCTGCCAGTGGCCACGCCCTGCATCAAGGCCATCTCCCCCAGCGAGGGCTGGACCACCGGCGGCGCCACGGTCATCATAGTGGGTGACAACTTCTTCGACGGCCTGCAGGTGGTGTTCGGCACCATGCTGGTCTGGAGCGAGCTGATCACCTCACACGCCATCCGGGTGCAGACTCCGCCGCGTCACATTCCCGGCGTGGTGGAGGTCACGCTCTCCTACAAAAGCAAGCAGTTCTGCAAGGGATCCCCTGGACGCTTCGTCTATGTCTGTAAGTGGTTGGAGATACCCCTCTTGGTGGCTAGCATCATGTCTAACCTTCTGTTTCCCGCTCCAAGCAGCTCTCAACGAACCCACAATCGACTACGGTTTCCAGCGTCTGCAAAAGCTCATTCCCCGGCATCCCGGCGATCCAGAGAAGCTCCAAAAGGAGATCATACTGAAACGGGCAGCCGATCTGGTCGAGGCTCTCTACTCCATGCCGAGGTAAGTGTGTCGCAGGATATAAACTCTCTCTCGGTTACAAATCCTAATACCTAACCCGTGTTGCAGCAGATCCCCGGGCGGTTCCACGGGCTTCAATTCATATGCCGGCCAGCTGGCGGTTAGTGTGCAGGATGGCAGTGGTCAGTGGACCGAGGACGACTACCAACGCGCCCAGTCGAGCAGTGTGAGTCCGCGTGGCGGCTACTGCAGTAGCGCCTCCACGCCGCACAGCTCGGGAGGATCATATGGAGCAACTGCGGCCAGTGCAGCAGTGGCAGCCACCGCCAATGGATATGCCCCCGCTCCGAACATGGGTACACTGTCCTCCTCGCCCGGCAGTGTCTTCAACTCCACGTCAAGTAAGTTTTGAAGGTCCTTTAGGTATAAATACCCCAGAAGGTGAAGGGAATAAGCATTACATTTCTTTGAGGCGAAGGTAGAACCCTTATATGTGGATTCCATTTCCCTGAATCCCCCATCTAATAGAGTCCTTATCGTATTAGTTCATTTGCCTTGATTTCACCTTACGTTCTGTATGACTCTCACATGAATACCGCCCCCACATAAACTGAAAACTCGCCTCTGCCCCAAAAGTTTCCCCCCCACCCCACGCTTGCCCCACCAATCCAAAGACAAAGTGAACAAAGTATGCTCAGCAAAGTGCATTTTCGCCATTAATTCCAACAGTGTCCGCCGTGTCGTCGACGTGGCATCAGGCGTTCGTGCAGCACCATCATGCGGCGGCCGCCCATCCACACCACTACCCGCATCCCCACCAGCCCTGGCACAATCCGGCCGTGTCAGCAGCCACCGCGGCGGCCGTTTAAGGAGGATCTGAAAAGGGGGAGGAAGATGAAAGACCAGCGAGGAGTAACGACATTTTGTTGAAATTAAATGCTGCCCCCAAATCACGCCCTCGCCCATCATCACCACCCACCCAGCGAAACGCACTGAAATAGCCAGACACAATCTATCAATCTGCAAGGACATCCGAGGGTGTGTGGGGCAGGTGATTCGATTCCAAAGCTGAGCATTCAAAACACACATCCACCTTCAACAACAAAAATAAAACACCACAGACAACACACAATTACGGTATTTATAATTTCTATTTCTAAAATTTTTAAATAAATAAAAATCCCCCTTTTTGTTAAATATCCCAAACTAGAAAAAAAACTAGATTTTGCAAGGAGTCTGTAGAACTATAAAGTCCCTTTACCTAAACACCTCCGATTGACGTGAAAACTAATCCATTTCATTATTTGAATTTCAGGGGTCAGCAGCCTGAGTTTCAATCCCTTCGCCCTGCCCACCTGCAACACCCAGGGCTATAGCACCAGTCAACTGGTGACGTCAACCAAATAATATTACTACTAAATGAGGCTATTGGCAGGCCACCATCACCACCACCACAACCCTCCCGATCACCACCTCCCGAGATGACCGACTTCGCCCCGCCAATCAAAAAAAAAAGAAGCTCGAAAGTGCAATAAACAACAGAAAATGGTTCCAAAATTCATATAAATCGATCGATATAGTTGTACATGTTTTAAATCGAAGCCCGTTATATTTTATTTTATTCGAATTATTCTCGTTTATCGGGGAACCCATACTTATACATATAGAATACCATATCAATGTAATGGGGAGGCATATCATGCAATGGGGCTCAAGATCGGGCAATTAAACAGAAAATAATTATTGATTAAATAAATCATGTAAATACTATCCAAAAGAATAAAAATAAAATAAAGCCTAACTATAATCGGAACTGTGAATAGAGGAAATTATTACAATTTATATACCCATGATGATTGATCAATATTCAAAATACGAATTCAGATATACCAAAAAACAGATCAAATTTGAAGCAACTTTTGGACATAACTAACTGCTTGTATACGACACTTTCTTGGATTAATATTGAAACAAAATAAAAAAAAAAAACATAAAACAATTAACGTCGAAAAGTACTCTCTGCCAATTGAGAAAACCGAAATCAAAATGATATATACCTACATAGATATACAAGACGTAATCGCAGCATATCTAGCGTAATATTACAAAACAAATTTATACCAAAATTTTGGCAAACATATCGTGCACTTAGTCCTAATATTCATTTCACGCAAACCACATACACCCGCCACCAGTTCACATACTCGAACATATTTTGTATAATGCTCATCGTATTCACTGTTCAAAATTCATATTTGACTAACACCAAACATCATCATAAGATATAAATTTTGCTATTCAAGTCAGAGTGTTGGATAAACTACCGATTTGTTGACTAGCATTTAAGCCTAGGCAGACATCAATGCGCAAACATATAGTATACATATGGTAGGCTTAAGATTATTGTTTATTATTCGATTTGTAGGGGTTTTACTGTAATTTGTATCTGTATTGTATCATAATGTATGCGCTTGCACTCCTAGATCTAAACGAGACACCAATACCGGACTCGACTTGGGGACTCGAGAAGCGAATCCAATACGATAGTAAAGCATAATTATAAGAACCAGCAGCATAAACAGCAGAACTTTAGCCGCAAAATCGATTTGTACATTAAAATACAATAATTTATAATAACAATCTAGCAACGCTCTCTGTTTTGTAAATCTTAACAAGTTATTTAAATAAAATTTATTTAAAATAAACGTCATAAACAAGAAAACCCATTCGTCTTTATTACTATGTCAGAGACTTTATTTCTGAAATATAGATTTGGATCAAATACGTAATTGGGAAATGAAATTGCCATTTAAAATTGAAATAATCTGTTGCACTTATGACGTGAGGGTAAATAATTGAATACATAAAAAATGTATCAAATACTAATCTAATTACAATTAACGAGCTAATGCTCCAAACTTCTATTTATCGTTTTCTTTGCACTTAGACTTCATTCCTCCTTGGAGGCAGGAGGAGTCGGTTCCTGAGCCTCCTTGTAGAGAAGTTCTGTGATCATCGATCGGACAAAGAGCTTCCGGGTGAGCGACAACTGGCGCATGACAGGCACCAGGCTGAGTGCGAAAAAGTAGTCGTCGTCCTTGACCAGCTCCTCGTGATTTTGCTGAATTATGTAGCTTAGTTGCTCACTAACAGTGGTTAGGCGGTCGATCGAAGTCTCCAAGTTGTTCTTTAGCTGCTTGGCCGAATTGTTTGGAGCAGCCACCACGGTGGCCACTACTGGGGCCGAGACACTGGCCCTTCCGCCGGTACCGGAGGTCCCTGTTGTATTCAAGACAGTAACTTTGTCACCGGCCTCGAAGGCTTCGTCCTCCATGACATGTATGGGGCTATAGCAGAGCGGGTCTTCGCTGTATATAATGTCCTTGATGTCCTCGCTGATCTCATCTGTCTGCTCGTACTCCTCCCACTTCTGAGGCAGGGCACCGGACTCGGTGGCCACTATAAATGATCCGGAATTGGGCTCTATCTTCGGCTTGGCCAACCGCAGCGGCTCGCGCAGCTGCTTGGCCTTGGTTATCCTCACCGCTTTGTCTGGAAGTAAATGGAGGCGATGAGTGTTTTAACGATACATATTGAAAGTGGCCTAAATATCAGAGCCCAAATATCATACAGAGATGGACGCACTCGATAGTTTCCCGCGCTGCCCGCCATAACGAACATGGCAATATTGATTCGGAATCGCGGCTTACCTTTCTTTATGATCGGAATGACCCGTGGCGACTTCTGCTGCACGGGGCTCACTAGAACTTGGTCGCTATGCTTGTGACGCAGATGCGTCCACAGATTAGTCGTATTGTTGCCCTTCAAATTGCTGGCCATTCCCCCACGCGATATATTGTTGCCGCAATAGCGGCATATCGCAAAGTTTTCGCACTCCTCATTGATATCGTAGTGCTGCCACACGCTGCTCACGCGACCTTTAGGCATTTTATATGCTTTTTTTTTTAGACTTTTAAGCAGTAAAACACAATTTTCTCAGCTACGAAAATGATTCTAGCGATAATAGCGTTGCTGGCGCCAGTGCTGTACAGTTCGCGTTGAAACAGTGTTGGAAAGAGTAAACGGATAGGGGTGAAATAAAAAAAGGGCTACATAAAAAAAAAATAATAATATAGAAAAATAAAATATGTATTTTTAGAAAGGCGAGGTCAGCATTAAATAACTTTACTATATTTAAAGAAAATTAAATTTTTATTCGCTATCAAAAAATTGTCCACTGTCTTCTGGGAATTGTTTTGGTTTTGTTTGTTTACAAACAAACATTGTCTTGAGCTGATTTGGCCACCTTTGTAGTTGGATTTTAACCGATCTTTGATTTCCCTTCAAATCTACTACTGGGCGGACCAAACAACCTTCCGTAGATATGGCATTTCTTACTGATCCGTGCTCAACTTCTCCGGCACGGACACGGACACGCGTGGCAGTGAGGGACGTGCGTGACATTTTTCGGATATTTAATCTCAAACTTACCGTTAGTCGGTGTTGAGTGGAGGCATCTGTGGCGGAGCAAGCTCCCAGTTCCAGTTTTTCCCGAGTAGGAAAGCAAATCCCCACAGGTTTTGCAGCAGGCATACGGCTCTATGCGGTCGTCGCAGGAGACCAGATTGAAAAACCTCCAAACACAGCTCTTCGTGTTTCTGGGCTCCACCAATTTGCAGCGGCTATCACCGGATTTAAGGAGGCTCCGTAGCTCCGATTTCTTCTCGACATGCATAACGGAGGAAGCTGATCGGGCCCGGAGTTTGGTTGGCAAAAGAAAAACCAACCGAAATTATAAAATCCACACAAATACAACCAAAGCACGCATGTCACGACGTTCAGTCACGCACAAAACAGTGTTGCAAAATTTCGCAAGGAAAAAATAAACAATGGACCAAAAACAATAACAAGAATTTTAAATTAAATATTTAAAAATTTTGTATTGGACTTTAGTAATGCAAAGTTTTCTATTTATCATCTTAAGAAGAAACTCGTTTGCTTATTGCTCGATAACCGATAAATGGCGAACCATTATCGGTTTAGAAAACAGTAAAACATGTAAAATTTTTTAAACTTTAAAATTTTTTGAATTTTTAAAATTATTTTTTAAAGTTTACTGGAAATTGTTTCTTTTCAATGGACATAAAGGAACAATGTAGCAACGTCCAATCGGAATAAACCCAACCGGAGTAAGATGTCTGATCTTTGGATCCAGATTACTGACCCTTTAACCGCTTTATCTTATGGTTTATTTATTAAATAAATTTTATTTTTTCAGATTTAATATTTATTAAATCTGCGAAATAGATTTATAATTATTATTATTACGGCCTGTGTAATTAAAGATTGAATGAAATTGAATGTTTAGTATAAGCTTAAATTTGGTCCGAAGTTAACAATCTTTCTGAAACAAAAAAAAAAACTTCTAACAAACAAGAACAATAATTGATTGTTAATTCGCAATATTAAAAACTTTTTAAGTTATAACATTCAAGACATAACTTTTTTTACTGATATGACTTTTAAATATCGCGGTAGTCTCTGATTTAAGTTAGAGTATTGTTTAGCACCGGCTAGCGATAGCGGGTTATCGTTACAGTCCCGGCACTGTGCAACACTGGCGGCCAGAGAAAATTTTTAAGAGCAGAAGCTGGTCGTTGTTCGGGATTTCCTCAATTTAAAGCCAATTTGTAGTATTAAAGCTGATTAATTATGCAGCGAAAACGAGCGCGGATCGTGTGAAATGCATGCGAACGGCGTCGGTTCGGTAAATCAGTGCAAAATCCAGCCCAAATGTGCGTAGGCCACTCACACATACACAGCTTTTTCGGTCATCGCCGTGCCCTCCCATGAGAGCGAGTAGCATAACAGTAACAGTGTCTATCGCCAGCATTGGCAGCGCACTAGCTCGAAAGAGAGGCAAACAGCAGCAACAACAACAACAAGAGGGCTGGCAGAAGAAAAGTGTTTTCATTTATTACTGACGGCCCCCCGAGGAAAACTCAAGCAAATTGCACCCAGCACCAAAAGTCAGAGCAATAATTATGCCAATGGCGAGGGGATCGCACTGTTTGGGCAGTGAAAAGTGCGTTTGTGCGTCCGCTAGGTGAACAAATCGCAACAGCTGATGCAGCATCTTGAGAACACTGCCCAACAGCGAGCCATGAACTGTAAAGTGCTCTGTTATTGTCGCACTGCAACCCCGCCCACCACCTCCCATCGCCACCCAGCACTCTGCGCCCACTGAATGATTCACATTTTCTTTAGCTAGTTTATCCCTCTTTTTGGCCAAAACACTACTCTTGCTACTCTTACTTATTTCTTTATTTTGTTGTTTTGTATGTTTTTTCTTGTTGTTGTTGTTGCTGTTGCAGATGCGTGTGCGCAATTAATTCTTCCAATCGAATACCAAGCAAGTGCCAATCGTGTTTTTCGTTGTGTTTTTTGCTGGTAATTCGCAGGTTTGAAGTGAAAATCCCCCCAAGTAGAGAGGCGTAGAGGATAAGACACCAACACACCCAACCAGATACTCCACACACACACACACACACACATACACATATATAGACATTACACTCGTCATCAGGATACGGGAGTGTGTGGCGGACAAAGTGAAAGAGTGTGTCGAAAGTGAAGTGCCAAGTCAAGTGCAGCGGGGAGGGGGCGTGTGAGCCGTTATCCCCCAAAAACAATATATCGCCAGCATGGATGCCGAAACACAGGAAATACGACAGGTGAGAAGTACTGGCCACTTAAATACCCTATAATATCTGAGTATTCGAGTTACTAATAAAATATGCTCATACTTGAATAGCGCGCTCATTAACATTCCAGCGTTGGCCGATGGGGTGAGGAGTGAGGAGAGGGGGAGCCGCACCACCACCTACTCTCTTTGCCAAAATGGTGCGCTGAGGTAATGCCGCTCCCACTTATCCGTCCGCTGCGAAGAGCGAAGCTTAACGTTTAGTATGCGACCGACACCTACAGTGGCTCGAAGCTTATTTCGTGCAAGAACAAAATAAAATTTTAAATCAACATTGCTGCCAAATTAGAAAAGATTTTTAAAAAATTTAAACGCAGTAATATAAATAAACTCTTTATTAACTAATAGGAACAAAAAAACTTACTAATCTACAAAAACAAAACAACTTTTCATAAAAAACTAAAAAAACAAGGCACTTTTGATGTCGAAGCTTATTTCGTGCAAACATTTTAAATTCAAAAAAACTATAAAAAGGGGACTTTTAAATCCGTTTTTTTTCTAAATACTAGTATTATTATAGTAAAATATGCATATTTCATAAGTATTGGAGCTGGTCACTCAAAACTAAACTTTTACCGTTGCTTTTTGATCATGGCGCCGCGAACAACGATTGAGCAAAGGGAGTTAGTCCTAAAACATTTTAAGGATGGCAAAACCCAGCGCGCCATAGCCGAAATCGTGTGCCTAAGCCCCAGCACGGTACAATGCATCATACAACGATTTGTAAGGGAAAATCGTGTGGCAGACAAGGGCCGAATCGCACCCAACAAAATTTTCGATGACCACGAGGAGCGACGGATCGTTAGAAAAGTAAAGGAAAACCCAAAGCTATCGGCTCCGAAAATTGCTGCAGAGGTGGAGGAGGAAATGGGCAAAAAATGTTGCCCAGACACCATCAGGAACGTACTCCACAAGCACCATTTAAATGGTCGAGTTGCTAGGAAAAAACCATTTATAAGTAAAAAAAATATGATTGAACGTGTTAAGTTCGTCAAGGAGATGGAAGTTCACCCTGGAACCTTCTGGAACGATGTAATTTTTGCGGACGAATCGAAGTTCAACCTTTTCGGGTCTGATGGAAGGAAATATGTGTGGCGGCGTGCGAATACAGAGCTCGATCCGAAGAACCTAAAACCTACGGTGAAGCACGGAGGTGGCCATGTTATGGTTTGGGCCTGTATGGCTGCATCTGGGGTCGGTAATTTAGTTTTTATCGATGGAATCATGGATGCTAAAATGTACCTTAACATTTTAAAAGAAAATTTGCCACAAAGCGCAGAAAAATTGGGAATACTGGACCGATTCCGATTTTACCAGGACAATGACCCCAAGCACACTGCTGCCAACGTGAAGCTTTGGTTGGTCTGGAACTGCCCACATGTAGTGAAAACCCCAGCACAGTCTCCAGACCTCAACGTAATTGAGAATTTGTGGGAGATTTTGGATCAGGCGATCAGGAAGAGAACAATAAGCAACCGAAATGAGCTGAAGATTGCCTTGCTGGAGGAATGGCGAAAAATTCCCGTTGAAACCACAAAAAAATTAGTGGAATCAATGGGAAACCGTTTAAAAGCAGTTAAAAAACAAAAGGGAGGCCCAACCAAATATTAGATTTAAGAATTTTCATATTTTATAGTAGTTTTAAGTTTTTGCACGAAATAAGCTTCGACGCCAGAAGTGCCTTGTTTTTTTAGTTTTTTATGAAAAGTTGTTTTGTTTTTGTAGATTAGTAAGTTTTTTTGTTCCTATTAGTTAATAAAGAGTTTATTTATATTACTGCGTTTAAATTTTTTAAAAATCTTTTCTAATTTGGCAGCAATGTTGATTTAAAATTGTAATTTGTTCTTGCACGAAATAAGCTTCGAGCCACTGTACTTACCATCCGACCGACCGACTGGTTTCGATGGCCATTGGAAACCACCAACCGGCCAGCTACAACTAGTTGTTTAATAAAAAAAAAAATAGATATATGGGGCTAGTTTCATTCATAAAAGTGCAACACACTCACACCTAGCACCGGAAAATGGGAAATACTTTGCTGCCCCTTCGATTTGGGCATTTGTTATCGTTTTTCTCGCTCCGCTGTTGCATGACCTAATCGCTAAAATAAAAAATAGAAGAAAAAAAAACAGCTTACGCATGCGAAAGACAAGCTGAAAAGGGAGCCCCGCTAACACTCTCCACCGGGGGTTTGGGGGCCTAGGGCCTTGCGTGTGTCTGCCACAGAGACTTTTTCCCTAGAAAGTTGAGGCGACTGTGGCAAGCTACATAGCTATTCTGATCGCTCCAAACCCATTCAAACATTCAGACAGTACTGCTGACTCAAGCATACCGCTCTCCGTTTCGCTATTTACCCATATTGCTCCTTCTCTCTGGTATCGCTAGTCCCCAGCTTGTTCTTTGGAATTCCAAAAAAAAACAAACGCCACTCGCCGCCAGATAATGAAATCATAAAGCCGCGCCAATTTCTGTGACAATTTCTGAACAACAAACCAGAAGCCACTGAAACTTTATTACAAACACATGCGATATGCTGCTGCCACAAAATTTTAAAAAATAATGCCACCATATAGCTGGCATTTCATTCATGGTGGGCGTCTCTTTTTTTTTCTTCTCCGAATTGTTTATATTTGAGTCTTGTGATATTTGAGTTTCTGGAGGCTTTTCTTTCGGTTTTCCATTCAAATTACTGCAGCCTTTGGGTGGAAAGCTATACTATGGCCTGAGAAACAGGTTTTCCCTCCACCTGTTGACCAGGTTAGCAAGTGCATAGCTGGACGGTCTACGACCTACGCCAATATTGTAGATACCCCCCACCCGCTAGTGGGATTTTGGCATTTTTATACCCTTGCAGAGGGTATTATAATTTTGGTCAAAAGTGTGCAACGCAGTGAAGGAGACATCTCAGACCCTATAAAGTATATATATTCTTGATCAGGATCACCTCCTGAGTTGATATGAGCATGTCCGTCTGTCCGTCTGTCCGTCTGTCTGTCCGTCTGTCTGTTTCTACGCAAATTAGTCTCTCAGTTTTAAAGCTATCGTCTTGAAACTTTGCACACACCCTTCTATCCTTTGCACGCAGTATATAAGTCGGAACGGCCCGGATCGGCCGACTATATCCTATAGCTGCCATATAACTGATTGATCGGAAATGGTATAACTTTGGTGTTTTTAGAGTTAGAGAGTTCAAATTTGACTTGAGAGCTATTTTTGGCAAAACATTACGACATGCCAAATTTCATAAGGATCGGCCGACTATATTCTATAGCTGCCATATAACTGATTGATCGGAAATGACCCAACTTTCGTGTTTTTGAAGATAGAAAGCTGGAACTTGGTACAGATTATATATTTGGTCAGTTGATCCGACCTACCAAATTTCATTAGGATCGGCCGACTATATCCTATAGCTGCCATATAACTGAACGATCGGAAATGGTATTTGGTAGAAATATCAACATTCGTATTTTTGAAGATAGAAGTTTAGGACTTTTTTTAGATTTTGTATTGTAATAAATTTGAATATATATTCCTATTCCCATAAGGATCGGCCAACTATATCCGATGTTTGCGATATATATCCGGTTTTAACTGCAAGGGTATATCAACTTCGTCTCCGCCCGAAGTTAGCTTTGCTTTCTTGTTTAATAGGTTTTTAATCCAATCTGCTCTTAAGAACCGTGAGATCAGTGATCAGTGACACAGTTATTGATGACTTCATTGCAGCAGGCTTATTTTCAATCAGAAACCAGTTTTAAAATTATGGAATTAAAGCAAATAATTAAGTCATTTTTAACATCTTATCTTTTAAAAAATATTCTACAATATAGGCTCTCTTATAACCCCCTAGGGAGTCTATTTCCTTCTTATCTCTTAGAGATAATTGAACAAACTTATAGGCTTTATAGATATGATTTCCATTGAAAGAACCCCCCTTGATTGCCTTTCGGGAACTGCCCAGTTTCAATTAGAGCATTCCTGCTGCAATGTCTGAATTATGAGTGCAACAAGAAATGGGTTGGCTGGCGAAACATGGCAGCACTCGAGATGATTCTTGAAAGCGGGCCAGGAAAACCAGGCACGCTCTGGAGTCTTTCATGCTGAGTGACCATCGGCCGGCGTCTATTCAGGCAGCCAACCAGCAACCCCATCTAGTCCCTTACTCCAAAAAAAAATACTAAAAGATTGGGAAAAAGGGGGGGAAACAATGGAAGGCGGATGGCTGGCGGCGCACGCCAAGCCAAACACGAGCGAGTTTATCGAACTCATATTGAAGATTGTACGCATGGCTTCACACACACACACACAGATACAGATACAGATACTGCAACTGCAACAGGCGCAGATACAGATACAGATACAAAAAGCACTTACGAGTGCGCTAGTTAATTGCCAAGAAACTGCGAGTCATTCAATCCGCAGAGGATGAATCTACAAAGCTTCATCATGGCCTTGGAATGGGAATCGGGATCGGGATAGGGGCTACGTTCCACAGATCCACAGAATGTACTGATTTTTTTCTCATCCTTTCTCGACAGGCTCGTCAACGTGCTTCCGTCAAGTGGCTGCTCTCGAAGGCCTTCAACAATCGCGTGCCGGACAACCTGAAGGAGCCCTTCTATCGCGACCATGAGAATCAGGAGCGCCTCAAGCCGCAGATCATCGTGGAGCTGGGCAACGCCACGCTCTACTGCCAGACGCTCTCCAATCTGTACTCAGATCCCAACTACCAAAGCCTGAACCACTGGTCAATATTACAGACGCTAGCGCGCAAGGGAGTTCCGGTGGCCGAATCCTCGGACATGCCCATTACCGAAACGGTATTAATTCAAACGAATCCGCTGCGAATTGTGAGTCCAACTTGCGAGATATCAATCTTTATTGCCCTACAACATTGATTGCTTTCAGAACGCCCACATGTCTGTGATAGAATCGCTGATGGTTTTGTATGCGAAGGAGATATCATCGGGTGACCGTGTTATGGCGGCCATACGAAGGTGAGAAGTGCTACCTGAAGGGGAGACTTCCGAAAAACTGAATATTAATATCCATTTCTGTAGAATATCTGGCAGCAATTACCAGGCGCCTCCTGGCCAGTCCTATGAGCAAGCTCTGCTGGCGTGGATATCGCATGCGTGCGCCGCTTTGAAGAAACGAATCATCAAGGAGGTGGAGACAGGCCTGCCAGATGATAATGTGAGTCAGCTACATCTTTCATAATAACTATCATTTAAGAGCTTTTCCATTTTCAGGGCTCTCGTTTGCAGACGCCGGATATACCGCCTGTAAGAGACTTCCAGGACCTGTGCGACGGCATCTGCCTGGCGCTGCTCATCTCATACTATTGCCCCAAGGTGGTGCCCTGGACGAGTGTGCGGATCAACTATCTGCCCGCCGTCGAGGACTCCATTCACAATATACTGCTGGTGGGCAATTTCTCCCAGAAGCATCTGCCATACAGCGTGTTCCACATGACGCCCGAGGACGTGACCTACATGCGCGGGTGGCTATTCCTACTATAGTTTTATGTTAAAGGATATTTTTTAATTTGTATATCCTGGCAGATCGATGAAACTGAACCTGGTCGTACTGCTCACGGATCTGTTCAATCTCTTCGAGATACACCCGGCCAAGTGTGTCTGCTATCCGGGAATGGATGGCCAGGGTAAGTGGAGCCATTATTTGTTGTCCAATCCAATCCCCTTGCACCGCATCGCATCCATCCCCTCCAATAACCCCCGACCACCAACCCGACCAAACGATTGGCCTGCCTGTGTTCCAATATCAGTCCGGGGCATGCAATGTTGTCCAAGTGCTATCGAAAGTATCCTTGTTTGCGTTTCGTTTCGTCTTTGGTTTCAATATGATTTGCTTTCAGTTTTACTTTAGTGATTTTCTTTGAGAGAACCGATTGGCCAACAGAACCAGAACAGAAAAAAATTAAATAGCAAAAGTATCTATTAGTCAGACCCACAACTACCATCCAGTTTAGGAGCAACCACAAAGCACCACCTTTTAGGAAAAGATCTTTCGGTTATTGTATAGTTTCTGCGGTTTATTTTCGTTTGCCAGCCTAGACCAGCCAACCAGAGTACTAATCTCTCTAGAAACCACAAACTCTCCACCAAGAAATTGACATGGAAATCATATGTAATTCTCATCATCTCAGCATAACCACCCAATCCCACCGAAAGTAGCGAAAATTCTCCACCATTTTCCAATCGAATAAAAAAAAAAAAAAACAATTCTGTACTTGATTCTCTTTCTTCTGTTCTCTGTTTATGTGCAAAAATATAAAAAATAAAAATAAAAAATATCAACGCTTCCTCTTGCCACTTGTAACCGCAAACAATCAACCAATAATTTGGGCCTTAACCACTCACCTTTAAAAAAAACCACTTGCCGATTTTCAAAACTCATCCAATGTGCAATGTACTTACTCGATTGATTCACTCTGCAATTCTGGCCATCTCGACGTACCATCCTAGATGTCATCGCCCGGCGCAGTTTGGGCGCCAACGAGCACGGGATCTGCCACCGGCGGGGCCTCACTGTACAGCCCGTCACCCCTATACCCGATCTGCGGAGCGATCTCGACACGCCGCCCGTTGGCTCGCCCTCGAATCGGCCACCGTTCCAAGGTTTACCTCAAATTCTATTCTATTCGAGCATTATTCTGTGTATTACTCCCCCAGATACTCCCTCCCCCCCCACCCGATATTCGGTTTCTTCATGAATGTGTTTCCATTTGTTTGTTGATGTTTGTTTGTTTGCTTGTTCGTTTGTTTGTTTCATTGTTTGCTTCATTCTGGTGCTGGTTCCCCGGGTGTGTTGAGCCATGGAACCAGCTGTTCTGATAACGATATCTAGTATAAGTAGCGAGATATGCCTGACACACGATGCACTGAATCGGAATAAGAGAGAGAGCACCACTCATCAGATATATTTGTAGAAATCGATTGTAATTAAGTCTGCATCTTGTCATCTTAACTGCCACCGAGATGGACTCGAATGAAGATGAATCTCGGTTTATAAGACCGAGTTCATGGGACACTTCCTCAGCTTACTTGGCACCCATTTCACCTTTCTGCTTTCCAATTGTTTGTTGTTTTTGCTTTACTGCCCGCTTCCGATGCATTCCGAAATATTAAAGTTCATTTACCTCGCCAGCTTAACCAATTGATTTTTAATTTTTTTTTTCTTTCTTTTATATTTTCTTTGAATTAATTTTTATGGATTTAGTTCCGCACTCGAATTCATTCGGCGGAGGCTTAAATCGAAGATCAACCCCGCCCAACGAATACCAGACGGTCCAGACCAATAATTTCGACACTAATCATGCCGAAGGTAACTTGTTATTATTTATATTTTGTTTATTTATCTTGGCTTTTGTAATTATGTACCTCCAATGTTGTTGAACTAAACTGTTTATTGGTTTTTAATTAAATTTAAATTTGTGATTTTTTTATTCTTTTCTACCAAAACCACCACCCAAAACCAAACCAACCCACACATGCTTACCAACCGCCCCTCAGCGTTCGTCGTTCACAAGTCGCGTGGCATCACCACACTTGCATCCATGCACTCGCAACAGCAACAGCAGCAGCAACAGCTCCACCACCAGCAGCAGCAGCAACAGCACCACCAGCAACAACAGCAATACCAGCAACAACAATCACAGCTTCAGCTTCAGCAGGAGCCCTTGGTTCCAGCTCGCTTGCGCCAGGCTAAAGAAAAGACCAATGTCGATTCAAAGGCGGATGAAAGAGGTTTGGCCTAGACCCCGCCCTGCCTAGACCAGCTACTCTGCTAGCAGTTCACTTATCTCAAACCCAGACTCGCGACTTGTATGTGGCCTCCAGCCCACTCTGGGAACGCGTTAATTGCCCTAACCCAAATCCAATTCTTCTTCCAACCATTCTCCGCCAATTACAAATTCAAATGCGTTTCGTTTGTGCCACATACGAGTCACAAGTCTGCTGAATTATTCTTTTAATTATTATTTAATTAAGTTTTCATTAAAGTTGAATTTTTGTTTGCTCTCATGTCGTAACGACGAATAGGCGACTATGCCGCCGCGGGTCGACCAAGTAACTGGGAACAGAGCCGGCGGCCGAGCTTTGCAGGTATGAGCCAACATTGCAACCACGATCTGTAGCCAACACAGTGTAGTTTTTCCATTTGTGCGTTTAGTTGAATGCAATTCCGTTTATGTTATCGTTATCCTTAATTTTGTTTGGCTTAAGGACATCCCGACAAACTATCCTGAATCCAACATGCATTGTTCATCGTCCTAGAGATGTAGATCTAAACTTATGTCTGTGACTTTTTAGGTCGTCGCTCGCGCAGGAACTCCTCCAGCGAAGACTCCCAGCTGACCATTGAGAACTTTGGCGGCTCCCAGGACCAGTTAAACACGCTGGGGCGATACGAACGTGAACGGGACAGGGAGCGCAAGTTGTCCAACACCAGCGTAGGTGGGTTATCTGAGTTTAAATATCATCTAGAAGCAACATTCTTACCTATCTTCAAAATCTTTATAGTTGAACCCGCTGTGGCCATACGCTCCTCGATTGCCGATGCCCGTGGAACGCTGCAGTTGGGCTATGACACGGATTCGGGTTCTGAGAAGCAGGACCGCGAAACGGAAAAGTATTCGATGCGTCGACAAGCAAGGTGAGTCATTGCTTGATCCAACTAGTGACTCAACTGATCGTTTTCCTCTTTGGCAGTGTCGACAATGTGCCAACGGTGTCGTCGCACAACCTCTCGAACGCTGGCAGCCCGCTGCCGACGGCCCGGCACAAGCAACATTCCATCGACAAGGACTACAACAACAGCAGCATGATGGCGGACGGTGGATACAACGATGCTCGCTCCACCAGTGGCTACGATCCGGAAAGCACGCCCGTTCGGAAGTCATCGACGAGCAGCATGCCGGCCAGTCCAGCCGCCTGGCAGCTGGATGTCGGCGATGATGACATGCGCTCGCTGGAGAACGCCAGCAAGCTGTCCACCATTCGTATGAAACTGGAGGAGAAGCGGCGTCGCATCGAGCAGGACAAGCGCAAGATAGAGATGGCTCTGCTGAGGCACCAGGAGAAGGTAGGCTTTGAGTCATTCGTCTGAAAACCCGATCCCAAATATGATCCGAAAATCCGAATCTATTTCCAGGAGGATCTCGAGTCGTGCCCGGATGTAATGAAGTGGGAGACCATGAGCAACGAGTCTAAGCGCACGCCCGACATGGACCCCGTGGACTTGGACAAGTACCAGGTGAGTTTGGCCAGTTCCCAGCTACCCAGTGTCCCCCCACTAATCCAAAGAGTTTATGTCTAACGCCTGTGTCTTTTTTTTTTACCCCCATGTTTGTGTCTGTGCCTGCTTCAAACTTTTACACACAAAAACTCATGCAACATGCCCCATAAACAACAACAACAACAACAACAAACACAAAACACGCTCATTAACCCATAAACCACCCACTGACCACTGCCCACTGAACAATTAACACCCTTACTGCAACGCGGCCATGGAAATGGAGCAGCAAAGCATCGCCATTATGAACATGAACCTTCAGGATATCCAGCAGGATATCCACCGCCTGGCCACGCAGCAGAGCCAAATGCAGGCCCAGCACCTGCAGGCCCAGCAGCTGATGCAGGCCCAGCAAATAGCCAACATGCTGAACCAGGTAATCTTCAGGTCCATCCGGTCCATCCAGCCTCATCCCCCACCCACCCAGACAGCAGTCGCTTGGCGCGCCGGTTAACGAAGGCTTTTAAGGAATGCTTTTTATGTTTCTCTGTTTATTGTTTATTAGTCTTAGTTATTAAATTAAGTTAGAGGATATAATATTTAAAATTAATACTAATAATGTTAAAAGAAGTCACCTTGTTTGAGGAAATAATTAAAAGAATAGTTTATTGCTTATAACTATTAATTCTAATTAATATTCAACTTACTAACAACATGTTCTTTGTTCCATTTATGTTATGTTATGTTATCCTGCAACCTGCCACTTGCAACACCTTGCAATCCGCACTAACCGCATCTGCAGCAGCAGACCTACGGGTCGCAGCAGCACCTGGCCGATCACCACTACCAGCAGCCGAGGCCCATGCAGCAAAGCTTTGGCTCATCGCCGCATCTTCCGCAGGCTTACAACTACAGCTCCCGTCCGCCCAGCCGCGATCCCTACCAGCAGCACCAGCAGCAGCAGCAGCCCATGGCCATGCCCCAGCCGATGCAGTTCGTCAACGAGCACGGCCAGTACATGTCGCCGCCGCAGCCCGCTCACTACATGTCACCCCAGCAGCATCAGCAGCAGCCGCAGAGCATCTACAGCGACAATGGAGCTGCCTACAACCACTCGCCCTACGGCGGAGCCCCACCGCCGCAGTACAGGAGCAGCGTGGTGTACGATGACTACGGCCAGCCCACCAATCACTTTTACTTGCACGAGTCCTCGCCGCAGCCACCCCATCCCCAGCAGCAGCAGCATCCGCAGCGACGGACCTGGGCCCACTCAGCGGCAGCAGCGGCCTACGAGCAGCAGCAGCACCAGCAGATGCAACAGCCGCTGGTGGACGTGAATGCCTGGCAGACGCAGCAGCAGCCGAAGCAGAAGCAGACCTGGATGAACCGGCCGCCGTCGAGTGCGGGCGCCCCCAGTCCCGGAAGCTTTGTGCTCCACCAGAACGGAGCTGGAAATGGTGGTGGCGGAGAGCTGCAGCACCTGTTCCAGGTGCAGGCCTCGCCCCAGCATAGGGGAGCCAACGGAGTACAGCGCCAGCAGTCGCTGACCAATCTGCGCGACAACCGATCGCCCAAGGCGCCCCAGCCCATGGGCGGCATGCCTATGGACTTGCCGATGCAGCCGGAGGACATGATGGCGCCGCAGAGCATTTGCTTCATCGGTGACGAGGAGGATGTGGACGAGCTGGAGCGCAACATCATTGAGTCTATGCAGTCGACGCGCATCTCCGACTTTGTCCACCAGCAGCAGCAGCAACACCACCAGCAGCAGAAGCTCCAGCAACAGCAGCAGCGATTGCAGGGACACAGCGGCAGGGGCAGCAGCTCGGAGGACTACGACAGCGGGGAGATGATCTCTAACAAGCTGAACATCACCAGTGGCAACCTCACCTACCGCATTCCCTCGCCCTCCCGACCTTCCATCCAGGCCAACAGCTTTCAGGACCCGAGAGCAGCGGCACCGGCGCCCGGATCCGCGCCCGGCGATGATCAGCCACCGGAAAAGGGCTTCTACATCTCGTTCGACGATGATCAGCCGAAGAGGCCAAAGCCACCGCTCCGGGCCAAGCGATCGCCCAAAAAGGAGGCTCCGCCGGGCAGTCGGGACAGCGTGGATCAGGCGATAAAGCGGGAATCCCTCAGTCAACTGCACAACAACAACAATATTGGGATCGGAGGAGACGACAGCCACAACAAGACGGTCACCAGACACAGCGTGCATGGTCTGAACAACTCCAACAGTGTCAAATCGCCCGGAAATGCCACCTACAACAAATACACCGACGAGCCGCCCATCCAGCTGCGGCAGCTCGCCGTCACTGGGGCCGTTTCGCCAACTGGCCACGAGCGCCGTCATCTGGAAGATGTAACCAACCAGTCGCCGCACCAGCAGCCGCCGATGTCGCCCACGCGGCTCCAGCACAACAATCAGGCGGCCGAGGCGGCCAGGAACAAGGCGTTGGTGATAGGAGTGGACGCCACCAATCTTGATCCAGTAAGTTTTCCAAAAATTGCTAATGTTTAAGGTGGAATCTCTTCATATTAAGCTTATACCCATATCCTTTAGGACTCTGTGGACGAGATGGAGAGGCGCAAGGAAAAGATCATGCTTCTTTCCTTACAACGTCGCCAACAGCAGGAGGAGGCCAAGGCGCGCAAGGAGATCGAGGCATCCCAGAAGCGGGAAAAGGAGCGCGAGAAGGAGGAGGAGCGTGCTCGCAAAAAGGAGGAGCAGATGGCGCGACGAGCGGCCATTCTGGAGCAGCACAGACTTAAGAAAGCCATCGAAGAGGCTGAACGAGAGGTTTGACTTCCACTCGAAGCTATAAGCTTGGGATTACTGATCGAAAATCTGTAATTTTTAGGGTAAAACCCTGGATCGGCCCGATATGCATGTGAAACTGCAACCCCAGTCATCCACCTCAACGACTCCACGGCTGCGACAGCAGCGCACCACGCGTCCCAGGCCGAAGACGATCCACGTGGATGATGCCAGTGTGGACATCAGTGAGGCTTCGAGCATCTCTAGTCGGGGCAAGAAAGGCTCCAGCTCGAATCTAACCGGTGAGCTGGGAAACAAGTTTACCAGATCTTTTCTAGAACAGGATTTAATAATTTATAGACTATATATATAGATATAGTCTGTAGATCTCCGATCTATGAATTAGTCTCTCAAGCTTTTTGTAATCTATGTTTTTAATTCATGTGACCTGTTTTATTTAGCCATTGATTTTGTTTACTTCCCCAAAACCTTTGCTAATTTGCTCAACTTTTGTTTTCGTTTTTGAATTTGAACTGTACAGGCTACGGTCAGCTAAGCTCAAATTCAATGAAACGAGACTACTACAGGGGCTCGCAAGACTCCCTTACCGTAAAAGGTAATTTTTTTATTTGTTTTTAGTATATTTTATATCATTGCATCGTCTTATGTTTCATCTTTTGTAGTTTTTATTAAGATTTATGCATGTTTTTATTTTATTGTTTATTTCTAATAAGGTAAAAGGTTTATTATTATTATTATTTGCACCTGAACTAAATCCTAATACTAAGTATTAAAGTATTCTTGAGAAACCTACTTAATAAGTCCTAACAACTAATCTTGTTCACACACAGAGTCACCCGATGATTATCCCAGTACAAGTTCAACTCCGATTGGACGACGGGGATCGTACAAAACTTCCAGAGGTTGGTGATGGGTAAAAAGTCTAAGAAGTTATAGATTATTATTTTTTTTTTAGTTTCTTTGTTTTATTTTCACAAAATTTTCATTCAGACACGTTAAGAACAAAGCTCGGCGCGCTTTTATTTTTATTATTTTTTTTTTACAATTTTATTTGGCCTTTAGTGACTAACAAGATTCTTATTATTTTTTTTTTTGGTTTGAACTACTACTGATTTATCGCTAAGGAAGTCACGCTAGCTAAATGCATACATGACCTCAACTAATCCAATGCCAAAATGCACTTACTATAAAAAAAGCACCTTAGCCTACAAAAGAGGGAAGAATAAGGTTCGGTTGAGGAAAAGTTTTGTTTCCATCTATGATTTTAAGTTGGGCTTGGGCTGGTTCTAGTTTATTTCTTATAGATTTTGTTTTTCTTGGTGGGTGGCCCTTAAGTTTGATTTACGATATTTGTACCTCATTTTTGCCAACCATTCATTTGTGTTAACAAACTGCAATGAAGATATATAGTACTCTATACTGATGCACTCGGCTCGCGTCTTTCGTGACCGGAATTGACCTGATTTCAGAGCCAGCCGGCGTCGAACGGGGCCGCACTCTGTCGCGTATCTCCGTCGCAAAGGGCAGCACGCTTAATTTCCGGGGCCGAAAGTCAAATTCGCTAATGAATCTGTGCGGTAAGAAGCGTTCCACAGCAACAACTACAACCATTGAACAACCAATCAAGCTGCTTGCCTGTTACTTTCTCTGTTACCCTAATCTCTACTCTATCCCTAAGTATTTACCTGTCTGCTACTACTTTCAGTTGGTTTCTAGTCGTCTTTTATCATATTTTGGTTTAACTTGTGATTGTATCTTGCTTTCGGTATCTTTGGTGGTGAAATGTACTTTACTTTCTCCGAACTTTTGTAACTTTGTCCATCTATTATTTTGGTGTATTGTGTATATATTTGAAAACATTATAATTTACAGAATATCTTTTATACTTTTTTTCACTGCGATAATTCGGTGTCCCAAGCTCCTTACGATGATGCGGTGGTGGTGGTGATGGTCTGGTCCCCTTCTCCAGCTTCTCTGCGGGGCGTTGGGTTGGTCTTTTGTTGCTTAGCTTACGAATCGCAGCTGGTTTGCGACCAAGATACAGGGATATTTGAAAAACACACAACATCACAGCACAGTACACACAGAAATCATAAACACACATGCACTGCCAACACTAATCAGTACATTTGTTCGATTTTAAAAAAAGATCACGATCATATAGCTATTAAGGAATCTTCGAAATTGCTTAACTAAATTTTGTGCACACATTCTCTTCTTTTATTTCTCTTTCTTTCAAACTCAAAACTGTCTTAAAAAAAAAAAATTAACCAAATCAAATACAAAACAATTATTAACCGAAAAAAAAAAAATATAAACGAACTCATCGCTCGAACTCGCCATCCATCCATGTGACTGATGACTAACAAAACGCACCGCATCGCATCCATCGACTGGTTGGGTCTTCTGTTCCCGTTCTGATCCAATTCGATCCGATCCGACCCGATCTGAACTAACCTGATCTGTTTTGTGCATGTGACGCCCACCACTCGAATGACACGGATTGAATTGCCCTGCCCTGCCCTGCTCTGCTCTATTGCTTGCCGGTTAGAAACAGATTCGGGACTGGGACGCGCCACACCGCCGAGGCGGGCACCGTCGCCTGGAATGGGAATGGGCGCTTCAGGTAGGCATATGCCATCTCCCTCCGGACCGGGCTCTTTGCCGCCAGGTTTGATATCGAAACGTCGCGGATTTGATGATGGATCCAGCGATTTCTCATTAACTCCGAATTTGAACATGGAATATTCGGGTTTGTATCCTCTCTACTCTCTCTCTCTCTCTCGACTTGAAAAAATACAAAAACAACAAAAATCAAATACAAATACTTCCAAACAATCCTCAGTTATATAATCAATCACCTTCCACCAATCCATACACCATTGGTCATCATTTGCATCCAGTTATCATAAGTTGGAATACCTCATTATGATTTTATATAGAACATTGATTTTATTTTCATTCTTTTTTTTTTTATTTATTATTCCGTTCGATCATTCATTATGAATAATTGGCATTAACGGAAATGTGAAACATTTAATTTATCATTCATATGAGTTCCTACATAGATAAACAATTTCTAGAGGGCTCCGACAGTCTGTAGAATCCGATTCTTCGTTCGTCCACTTCTTACGTTCCCTAGCGTCGTCAAATCCACGACTTTCGATAGTCAAACGTAACCCGAAAAATGTGTTCTTAGAGATTACTAAAAAAATGTACACCTTATAAGCCAAATTGGCCAATTAACCGCTTCTCTTGGAATTAAAAAAAAAAACAAAAGCTAAATTGCAAGCACTCCAAATGTATTAAATATTTTGTACGAAGTTTATTTTTTATTTTTATTAACCCTCCTTTTTTTTGAATGTTTATTTATATATTTTTGTACATAAGAGAGATTAAGCTAGGGCTTATGTTTCTTCCAAATTCTAATTAAGTTTTATTTTTATTCCCAAATATTTAACACGTAAATCCCGTAGGTTTGTCCATAGAATAGTTTAAAATCTTGCACGTAGCCTGCATTTTAATAATTAGATTCAAAGGATTTACGAACTAGAAGCTTGCCATTTGCCACCATAGTTGTAGATAATCCATGAGTGAATTCCAAGCCTATTCCGAATCATAAACTCACTGCGATTTGCGTTCAACAGGTCCAAAACTCTACAAGCAACCAGCGGCCAAATCGAATCGTGGCATTATCCTGAATGCCGTCGAGTACTGCGTTTTCCCCGGAGTCGTGAACCGCGAGGCCAAGCAAAAAGTGCTGGAGAAGATAGCACGCTCGGAGGCGAAGCACTTCCTGGTTCTGTTCCGGGACGCAGGATGCCAGTTCCGCGCCCTCTACAGCTACGTGCCCGAAACGGACCAAGTAACGAAGCTGTACGGCACTGGGCCTAGTCAAGTCGACGAAGTAATGTTCGACAAGTTCTTCAAGTGAGTACTTTATAGTTTTCCTCATTAGTCTTTTGCTAATGTTATGTCCCTCTGGCAGATACAACTCAGGTGGCAAGTGCTTCTCCCAAGTGCATACCAAGCATCTGACCGTGACCATCGACGCCTTCACAATACACAACTCGCTGTGGCAGGGCAAGCGGGTGCAATTGCCCAGCAAAAAGGACATGGCACTTGTGATTTAAGCAGCGAGTGGAGGAGTCACGTGGCAACGAAAGGATGAATGTGTCGACGGGGAGGGGAGCACAGCCGTTCGGGTGGAGCAGTTTGGCCAACGGGCGCTTGGCGCAGTTTTGGTCGGAACCACACTATTCAACAAGTTTGCGCATTAAGACATCTATGGAAACATAACAAAACATAAACCCAACAAGTTTTTCTATAGGTCGCCGGGGTGTTTTTTGGTGTTCATCGGGGTACGAGTATATATGTATGTAATGGAATGGCTAATAACTATTTGCACATGTTTGAGAAACAAGAAATCGGAATTTATGGGAAAAATATTGTAGTAATTAATACAATGCGATTGAATATTTATTTTGAATATAAAATGCATATATCCAGCCTATGAATTTATTGTTCACGCAAGCCTGAAACAGTAGGAGAATTGTCTAAAATGTAAACCACAGAACAGAACGAACCTAGAGCAGAGCACACAAAAGCCAAATGAGAATGTAATGGAATTATGAATTATTATATCTTTTGTTTGCGAAATTCAAACGGGGATCGGTCGAGTGGTCGGTCAATGCCGACGACCATTGATGTACGACCATTGCTCTGTTGATGTACGAGGATGTACGAAGAACAAATGTAGAAAATCATATTTTATTAATTTGTTTTATATTGTTATGAAGTTATTCATGTGAAATTTTTCTTGGCCTTTGGGGGCAGGCGGAAATGAAATCGTGTACGGGCCGCAGCCAAAGTCGACACTAATTTTAATGCCACTAGCTATTTATTTTAACACTACTTAATATTTACTTTTTATGCGTATTTAAAAAGGAATAATACAACTAATATTTAAAGATATCTATACAAAACCAGAAAAAGACTTTTGACTGCTGAAACGGAGATCCATTTTTCTTTTAGATCTCATTTTTTTTCGCACAGTCAGATGCACCACGAGCAGTCAGACTCTAAAAGTGAACTTCACAAATTGTGTTGTAATTTTCAATTGATTCGAATTTCGAAATGCATTTTGCTTCCCATTTTGAGGCTGGCCCTAAATTGTACTTGTATAACTGCCATCGCATTACGTTTTACCTTTGTTTGCAAATATTCATTTTTAAGCCCGCTCAACCGATGCACCCTAGTCCCTAACCACCCCTCACACACTCATCCTGTTTTATTAATAAAGCGATCGATCAATCTAGTTTGGTATTATCTAATTTATTTTTTATATCAATTGGCCCCCAATCCCTTGATCTAAAATGATATTACTTTTCAAAAAATGTATTTCAAGCGCCGCATTGTATTTCAAATCGCTTATGTATGTAGCTAGCGCAGTGAGGGTAACTAATAACTAAAAACCGCCATCACAAAACGATTCCGAGCAGATCCTGGCATCTGGCTAGAGGCATTTCAGGGGGATCAGGTTAAAAATTAAATATGTATATGTACGCGCGATTCGGCGCAGTTGCGCCCTTGGCGCAATTCGCTCCCTAATAATGAACATTAATGAGATCTAAACATTATTATATAAAATGTAATAAAGTTATTGAACATGATTATTTAACAAATATAGTTGTTTTAATTATGGAATGCCATGGGATTCAGCTACTAATGGGGAAAACCGAAAATCTTCATTTTTTAAGGGGTACCCCTTGCAAAAAATTCGAAAAATTTAAAAATCGTATTTGAGGAATGTTTGGTAAGAGGGATAAAGCTACTCAAAGCTATGATCACAGAAATGTATGTATCTTTACGATCGGATGCAAATTGGAGGAGCTATGATAACCAGAAGGGAGAAAAATGGGGAAAATCGAAAATCTTGATTTTTTAAGGGGTACCCCTTGGAAAAAATTCGATAAATTTAAAAATCGTATTTGAGGAATGTTTGGTAAGAGGGATTCGGCTACTCAAAGCTCTGATTACAGAAATGTATGTATCTTTACGATCGGATGAAAATTGGAGGAGCTATGATAACCAGAAGGGAGAAAAATGGGGAAAATCGGAAATCTTGATTTTTTAAGGGGTACCCCTTGGAAAAAATTCGAAAAATTTAAAAATCATATTTGAAGAATGTTTGGTAAGAGGGATTCAGCTACTCCAAGCTCTGATTACAGAAATGTATGTATCTTTACGATCGGATGTAAATTGGAGGAGCTATGATAACCAGAAGGGATAAAAATGGGGAAAATCGGAAATCTTGATTTTTTAAGGGGTACCCCTTGGAAAAAATTCGAAAAATTTAAAAATCATATTTGAAGAATGTTTGGTAAGAGGGATTCAGCTACTCCAAGCTCTGATTACAGAAATGTATGTATCTTTACGATCGGATGTAAATTGGAGGAGCTATGATAACCAGAAGGGAGAAAAATGGGAAAAATTGCGAAAAATTTAATTTAAAAGCTAATTTATTTAAAAAAAATCATTAAATTTATAATAAACTGTCTACATTTGGAAATCGTCACGCAGATCGTTATAACGCTGGACATGCTCTTTGATCTTGGAACCGTCCACCCAAGTGACAAAGTCCTCGAGATTTCTAGATACCAAAAATGCAGGATCCTTGACCATTTCGGGTCCCACTCGAACGTGCCCCTGTTCAATGAGGTCAGTGGCGTGTTTCAGATGCTCTGACATACGAACTGAAATTGAGAGCTTGGTTTAATTGAAACTATCGAATTATATTGCTGGTAACCTACGTTTAACCATAATCACTGGCAACCGGCGGCGACAGAAATGACTGGCTGATGTCTTGGCAGCAGTTTGTAAAGTAAGTTGATCATTTGAGACCCCCATGGCGTGCAATTTATTGAGCAGCATTGTAGTGGCCTCCGTCTTGAAAGGATCCGATGCATCTAGTTTGGCTATTTTTTCCGTGAGCTCTCGTATTTCTCGCGACAGTTTGTTGTATCTATAAAAACGTTTAAATGAGAGCAATTTTTGTAATTAAAGTTATATGTAAATTTTTATGAAAACTCACTTTGTGTAGTCTTCTCTCTTTTGTATGTGAAAGCGCCGAAGTATTTTATTCTCCTTTCCGCTGTTGTCCACCTTCCATGTTATGAAGTCTACCTTCTTGAGCAGCTTTTGCTCATGGAATTTAAGTTTACGAACCATTTTTATTTATTGTTCAAAGAAATGTTTTGATTTCTCGCACATGTGCGGACTAACAGTGTTGTAAAACTACAAAATAATGAAACGCTTGGAACAGCTGATTAAATAGGGTTGTCGCACTGTCTCCGGCAAAAGGTGGTAAACAAAAATTAAATTGTTAACAATAAACAAGGAAAACATATTCTTTTCTAATATATTATCGCGTCTGACATGGCCACCTCCATGGACGAGGACACAGGCCCCAATCCGGCGCCAAGTGCCGACGACGATCCCCTGGCCGAGGAACGACTCGGTTTTGTACGGGAAGTTGGCGCCCAAGCCGTTTGGAGCCTCTCGTCCTGCAAACCTGGTGAGCTTTTGGAGCTCTTACCACAAACTAAATTGTATAATAATCGAAATTCTTCAGGCTTTGGAGTGGAACGGCTGCGCGACAACATTATGGACACCTACTGGCAGTCGGATGGACAGCTGCCTCACCTGGTAAACATCCAGTTTCACAAGCGAACCAACATCAGTCAGATTTACATATACACGGACTACAAACTGGATGAGAGCTACACGCCGTCCAGGATCTCCATACGGTCCGGGACCAACTTCAACGATCTACAGGAGCTGCAAGTGATGGACCTTACAGAGCCCACCGGCTGGGTTCAGATACCCATCAAAGATGGTAACGTCAAGTCCATTCGCACGTTCATGCTGCAGATTGCGGTGATCTCCAATCACCAGAACGGCCGCGATACCCACATGCGCCAAATTCGCATCCATGCCCCAGTCGAAGGAAAACATTATCCCCTGGAGCTTTTTGGCAAATTTGGAACCGTCGACTTCCAGAAGTTCGCAACTATCAGATAGAAATACTCATAGTTCGACTAAAGACTTTAATTCTTATATTTTTGCGGGTATTAACTGCTAAAATACAACATTGAAAAGATTACTTTAGTAATTGTATGCATATTTTTGGTGTTTCTAATTAAATGCCCGTCGTTTGTATATATAAATCATTTGCAAATAAATATATACCGTCGTCTAAGCTTAAGTACAAATAAACCAACTCAACTACGGTGAAGGAGTTATTATTGTTACGGCTTTCGCGATAAAAATGCATGTTATGAACATGGAATCGCCAACAAAGGTGTGCGAGGCTAGTTTTGTTTTTTTTTTTGTTGCACTATCCCCAGGATTGTCATTAATGATTGATGATTATGTGTTTGATTTCTTTGCCGCCTTCAATGTCTTGTAGTGATCCTTCTCGTCACCATTTTCTGGTGGTTCGCATTCATAGGAGGCCTTCATCAGGAGATCCTCCGAAAGCACCTCTGCCTTTAGCAGATAAGATACAACATTGGGTAGCTGCACGTAGGGGCATTCCAATCGCTGCCACTTGCTGAAATTTCGCAACTGGGCCCCCAAAAGAATACACTTCTCAAAGTTTACGTTGCCGTTAGCCAGTCTGTAAGAGATTAGTCTTAAATAATTGTTTATCTTTTTATTTTGTTAAACAGAACTTACTTCGTGTTATGGCTTTCATTGATGGCGTGTAAATCTTTAAGAAACAGCGAGAAAAAGGGAATAATGGCTCGTTCGATTTTGTTGGCCATCTCCCTTTCCGATCGCCAGACAGCTGCCTTCATGGTAGATCGATAGTTGAGGAAATTCGAGCTGGGATCCATTTGGTGTTCCAGACCTTCAAACTTTGTCGTCTGAACTTTAGCCCACTGAAACATATTTGAAGAATTAAAGAAAGGAATGGAATATGTCTGAAGACTTACAGTTTTTTTGAGACGAGCTATGGCTGTAAGGTTCAACGCTGTGAGAATGGCCATCAAACTATTAAAGTTTCCCGTGTTAAAACACTCCAAGGCCGTTTCCACCCAGAAGTCAATCATTTGTGCTCTTTGTGATTTTTTGCCAAGCTAAAATAAAGTTTATAATTATTATTTTTTCTTAAATTCGCTTCTCTATTCCCAATTATACCTTTAGAATTTCCGTGGCCGTCAAGTAGCTCAATTGATTAAACCACTGCACATAACTATCGATGGTCACCTGGGTAATGCAATTGGAACCCAAAGTTCCAGCCTTGGTTTGGGCCATGCAAGTTTTCAGCTCATCCTTTCCAAGCACTTCCACAAACTCCTCAAGACGTAATTGAGAAAGATAGGCGTACTCGATGGCATACAGTTGATGGGCCAAATCGAAGGCACTTCCGCAGTTATTTAGCACATTATCGGACTTGTAAACATTGGCGGCGAATCTTTTGAGCGATTTAATACTGCTCTGTCTTCCAAGGGAACTGGCTGATGATTGCTTAGTTAGCAGATACTGTAGCTGGGTTTTTCTCTTTTCGTTGCTTTCAGCTTGCTTCTGGGGAATTTTGTCTAGCAAGGTTGCTAGCTCCTTGATGTCTCGCTTCTTCTCCAGCTCTTGCAGCAGCGTCTCATTGACAAAGTCGTTGGGACAGATGCTAAGCCAGTGATTAATTAGACGCATGAGAGTATCCTCCTTTCCTTGGCATTTGTCTATAATGCGGGAGAGTAGCTCTTGGGGAGGCAGAAACAGGCGAGCGCAGGTTAGGATTGAAAATTCCATGTCTTCATTCTGGCTATTGATTAACTGACTGACTAGTGAGTCCAGGGTGCCGTTTTTGGGCATGTCTTTGGCGTAAACTGGCGGTGGTTGGCAATCGGATGGCTCAGTGATCTGCAAATGGGTGTTCTGTCAAAAAAATAAGTATTATATTTATTTCTCCTCATTGTATAAAGAATACTTACTAAAATGGAAACAGCATCTGCCGACGAAGCAGAGCTGGGAATGTCACAGTACATGGAGTCGGTCAGGGTGTCACGTGGATGCGACCAGGGAGCACTCATGGACACGCTGTGGAAGAGGCCATCGTGACCCGAGTCACAACTGCTTATATTCGAGCTCTTGTCCCCGATAGTGGTAGATGATTCGGAGCCGATCACCTGGTCGGAGCCAGTGATGGCCGAGCTACTTGACATGAGGGAAGCATTCGAGAAGGTTTGGTTCAGCTGGCGGCCTAATGGATCACCCGGACGTTCATCAGAGTCCGTGGCTTGTGAAGCAAACGTAGAATTCGACGTGGTTCTATATTTTAGGGCGTTCTCTGGAGTTGCCCGTGACAAGGCGGACTGCTGCTTGACGGGATGCCAAATCTCTTTCTGGTGCGACTGGTGGTTAAAGTTCTCCTTCGTCTCTACCGTACGTTCGTCCAGAATCTGGCCATTTCGCGAGACAAGCACCTCCTCTGTAGTCGTGAGAGACGATTTAACCGTCAGCGAGGTCTCCACTTCAATGGGCTGTTGGGCTAAGCCTGCGCGGAACAGCAACTGATTTAGGTGATCCACCGAAGGCATTTGACCTTCCAACAACGCCGCTTTGATGGCGCTCGCATCATCCGCCGGAATGCCGTCGAGCTTGACCGGCACTCCATTGACCAGTAGTACCTCCTCTTGTTGCAACGAGGAGGATGTCTCGCAATCCACGATCTTAACATCCTTGCCAAACATGGACTCTACTGCATTCAGGATATCCTCATCCATGATTAGGGGGTTGTAGTTATTGGATGATGGGTGGGACTCGTGGTAGTATGTATGGCTGATACCTTTCTGGGTGGTTTGTTAAATGCGTTGTGACCCAGGGGGACTCTTTGGATTAGTCGCAATGTACATTACATTTCTGGAAAGGATTGGGCAAAAGGAAAACAAATATTAGCACAAACACTCGGTAGGGGTAACACACAGGTGAACACATGGTTTGGGTTTTGGGGACGGGGTGGGATTAAGATGCTCGGCATGGTGACAACGCCCACTTTGCCACACAAAAGTGGGTGGCCTTCCGATCGCGACGAGAATCAATTGCTTTTGAAAAGCAGACACACCTGCAGGAACAATATCGCGCGGCGGCCGTTCAGCGCATTGATTGCCGCCATTTCTCATGGCATTAGCATCCCCCTCCGGCTGCTCATCAAGTTTCTTTTGTTGCGACACTCCCAGAAAAGTTTAATTATTTGCCAATTATGCAGATTTTTATTTTTATTCGCTGTTTCGATAGAGGTGGAGAAACATATAGTTATCGATGTTGTTAAAATGTTAAAAAATATCGATGTTTCTCCACCTCTAGTTGCCAGAGCGACCAGTGCTGCCCATCAGCTGTGGATTAACCGGCTTTTTAAAATCGTAAAGCTTAAAATTGTGCTACATGAGCAAAAATCTTTGGAAATTCCTTGAATTTATATTTTTTATAGTTTCAAAAATAATTTATAAAACGATTTAAGTCAAGTTTAAGATTTATCAAAAACCAACAAACATTTAAGCATCAACATTCCTAAAAATCCAATTAAACTATTTTAAACCTCAATTCAAAACTTTAAATATGAAACAGCTTTTTAAAGTGGTTTTTAATTACTTTAGTTTCAGGTTTATTTAATCACAAAAGATCTTTTAACTTAAACCACTGGGTAGGCACACTCTGCAGCAATGTTGCAGAAGTTCCTGCCACGGATCAGCCGGAAGTATCCTTCCTCGCCCCAGGCTGCTGACCACGAATTCTTGACGATCCAATAATCTTGGCCATTCTCTGATCCGTATCCCACAACTAAGACGGAATGGTTTGGATCCTCGCCGTTGCACTCTTCGTCGGAGTATATGCCGCTGTCGTAGTTCAACAGGGTCTCAGTTCCATACAATGAACATGCTACTGGACCCAAAGTGCCGACCACCTTTTTCAGCAACTCCTCGTCTCCCACAGGAATTTCGACCCATCCCTTGATCTGGGCTGCGGAAGTGCTGGGATTGTACTTGCAGGTGTCCTGCTTATCAAGGTAAGCATAGCTATCAGCATTCGACACACCCTTCTGCAGCTCATGAATGAAGGCCATGGCATATCCTTGATAACCACCGTCGCAGCCAGCCAGAGCCATATCCAGAGGTCCGCAGTCGACCAGATTTTGCTCAGACAGAATAGGGAGTTTGCCAGTGGCGCGGGCAACGTGTCCCTCGATGGTACCGGTGGTGGCAAAAGCCCAGCAGGATCCGCATGTTCCTTGGGTCTTAACGGGAGTGACAGCACCGTGTTGGCGCCAATCGAACGATTCGGGAACTGGGACAGCTGGAACACTGGGTGGCTGTTTGCTGGCAGCAGCTTGGGCACTGTTTAAGAATGTTTAAGTATTAAATTATCCTGGAAATTATCAAAAGTTTGTAAACTTACTCTCCCTGAGCGGATCTCTTGCGACCCGTCAGCTGGGACAGGAATTCAGAGTGGGTCAGATCGGAGAAGGCATTCACAGCCAACTTGAAAGTGGAGGCTCCAGACGCGAAAGCCGCGTTTCCGGCATCCACCAAGCTCTTACTGGCACTAAAAGCTGTCTCACGCAACTGCTGCTCAGCGGCGGAAGCATAGGTCTTGCCGGTTTGAGCCTAAAAGGACATTTAAGGCTGAAAAATCTATAATTTTTTTTAGAAAGAGATACTACTTACCACAAAATCACCGAAGCTCTGGACATTATTCAACAAGGGCACAGGTGGAACAACACTGGCAATGCGGCCGACAGCTCCTTGAACGGCACCCGCCGCATTGGCCAGGCCATCCCTGATACCTCCTAGACCACCTCCAAGTCCACCACCAAGACCACCTCCAAGTCCAGCTCCGCCTCCAAATCTACCACCGCCTCCAAATCCTCCGAACTGTGCCGAGACGGCAGCCACCAAGAATGGAAGAACCAACAGGAGTTTCATGCTGATCTGCGGAAGAGAGTCGTCTCTAATTAGTGGCTTAGTACTAGTGCGGTTTTAACTGGTTTCCAGGGATTAATCCGAAGATCTAACAATCAGTTCGGGGGAAAAACGACCAATAGATCTTTGCCTTGTAATAATTACAAATATAGTTGATTGTACGAGATGCTTATCATCGTCAGGCAAATGCGCTGACACTTGAGTATTATATTATATGTACAGGTTTCAGATCTTAAATCACCGGTGTTCAATTCCGACTGGACTAGCTACCGAACTAACCTTACGCGCTCAACTAATCGGCACAAATGTTTGGGTTCGAACCGCTGACGGAGCTTTTATACCATTTAGTGGCCAGCTATTAAACTGGGCAACCTCGCCCCCAACCCAGCCCAATAAAATCCATAAATCCAGGGATTCAGAATTATACAGAAATCTAAACGATTTAATTATAGAAGCTATAACTGTTTTCTATAGCCGTGTTCTATCTGGTTTTGGGAGAACTCGTCTCGGTTCATTAGCGGTATGTAAGATTTCACTAAAAATTAGTGAACGAACACTGAACAAATTAGATATTAAAACTAGTTTTAGTCTAATCAACGGTTCCAAATATATGTCACAAATAAGCAAATAGATCTTGTTTATTCGAATTGGGATTACGAATTAATTAATTGTTATCAATGTATGGATTTCATTTGCGTCACATAGGTTCTTCTTATTGCACTTTTTTGATAACGTATCACTTTTGTATCACTTTTTGGGGGTACTGGACAAACTGGATACAATCGAGAACTCGTTGTTGGCTTTAAACAAAGTGATTTAAATATTACTTAATCGGAGTAACTGATCTGGAGATAGCTTGAATGAACTTCGAGTTGTAAGTTCAGGAAAAGTGTACCTTTCCCGAGCGATGAACCAAAAGTCAATCTCTGGAGAAGCATGACAACATTTTTAAGACCACCTTGGATTGGCGATATCATGCAAATTCAATTAATCCCGGACCGAAAACTTGTTTGTTTGTTTATTATATCACAGAGAGAATCGATTGTTTAACAAAATATAGGAATATTAATGTCAAAATAAAATGGAAATGAATATATATTTAACAGCAAACAGTAGCAGCCGAAAAATGAGGAAGCTCGTGTTCTTCAGATGGAAAATGTAACGTTTAGGGGAATTCCCTTAGGTGTCTGAAGAAACCAGTTTCTTTATCTAAATTAGGTCTCCGTATACATTAATTTGTGTACGCAAATTTGAATATTTATAATCAAGCGGTTGGTGTGTAAAAACTATCATATAATTTGTTTACAATAATGGGATTTATTATACTTTTAGATACGCACACTTCGGCAATAAAGGCTTTTTCCTCCTAACAACCGGAAGTGTCCATTATCACAGAATTGGGCAGACCATGAGCTTTGCCGCCATTTTTTACTAGATTAAACTTGCAGGAAAAAATTTACAAAAAGACTCTACAATATTATTTGAATCCTCACTAACTTAATTGTTTTAAAAAGTATTAAAATTTTTAAAACCCTTTTTTAAGTTATAATCATTTGAAAGGAAGACTAACTATTTTAATAAATTACTCAAAACTGGATAATTTTGGTAGCCTTGAATAATAATATTTATTCCATCAGCTTGGGTTTAAAATTGCTTATCTGTGTTGTCTATTATATTGCGAATTCAATTAAATAGTCATAGTTATAGTTGATTATTTGTATAAAAAATGTACTATTTAATAATAAAGTATTTTTCAATAAAAACTTAACAATTTAATTAAATTAACTAATCAGTCTTTTTTTTGTTTCGTATGAACGGCTCGTGACTCTTGAACTTCATGAATTGGCGTGGCTTCTGGCAGGAAAATAATTGGCTTTCGCAGATCAACAGGTGGTAGAGCCCAATTCTTGGTCATGGGGAATCGCTAAAGGATATCAATGGAGCATTCTTTTAGTAAATAAATACATGTTGAATAAATAAATTATACTTACGCCACTGGGTCCATTGACTGAGCCATGTCCCACTTGTGGTCTAGCCAGAGCGAGACTCAAGGAAGCCAGGAAAGCCATAACCAGGATTACTTTCATTTTTGATATTTTTTGTGGAGTGGATGGAATGCTTTTCAAGGCAACTGTTAAGCTGGTAATGATTCTGGACTCCGGCCGTAATCCCTTTTATAATTCGAATCAGTCGGAACTTTCTCTGTCAAACACTTCCTGCACTTCCGGCTGGGAACTCGAGACATTTTTGATGCCGTTTTAAAAATAAACCTTCAGATGCAGCACTTTTGCTTTCTGGAGCTGTCGATTTCCCCAGAGATTCATCCGGATTGGCGTTTACTTACCAGTTTAGCAGTTACTTACTGTTCTTGGTCTTGAGGAATTCTGGTGGCAGAACAAAAAAAAAAAAAGATCCAAAGAGCCAAAGAACCAAAGAACCTTTTTTATATTCGTTCGTTGGACTCTGCTATACATTTCAAGGTTGTTGCTGCCATATACCATATAAAAATATATATATATCTGGGTGTATGGATGTGTGTGTGTTCTTGTGTGTGCTTCTTTCATTAACCACTTTCAGCCGCATCAGCACCAAAAGCAACAACGCAGCAACAGCAGCAGCACAACAGCAACAACATCAGTCAACAGAACTTCAAACGAAGTCAGTCTTCTGCGTCTGCGCCTGCGCAAAGGTGGAGCCCATGGATAAAGATGAAGATCAAAGTACACTGGAAGAAGCAGGAGTAAGATTTCAGGGGGTATATACCATCTTGAAGAGATATTTTCTTATGGATACTAGAGATAAGTATGTAGGTAGGATAGATAACTATAGAAAAATGGAAAGATATCTGTATGTTTTGTTTTGTTAAAATTTGTTCCTAAAATTTAAACTTTAAAGATCAGGTCACTAGTAGCCATTACTTGCCAGAATTTATACTTTTTTATAATAAAAATCATTTGTAATTAAAGTTCAAAGTTATAAGGTCAAAGTTCTTGCCAAGTTGACACAAATTTTAGCTTGTGACGTAGTTACTACTGTAAATATATGCTAAATACAAGATTTTTATTAAAATAATGAAATTCTTGGAAAGAATTTAGGATAAATACGACTGGCACATATTTTCAAAGTGTATATAGTCAGTTCCATTCGGTAATTAATTAAGAATCACAATGTTATTTATAAGGTGATATTTTTAATCGAAAACAGTGGAATTAAGGAATATATTTCATTCTAACATTTTGAAACAAAACAAAAAAGATATAAAATGTATATCAATAAAAATAAAAGAAGTAAAACCGGTTTTAAATAATTTTATTTACGGTGTAGAACAGCAGGTGGCCAGGGGACAGCAGGGTCCGAGGGTGATTGGGGGACCAGCAGATGAAGGGACTTAGCCAGAGGCCGCTTGGATCTTCTGGTTAATGTGTTGTGGCCAAAAGAGTTGCCGTCGCAACTCCATCTTCATCCAATTGTTGAACGACACCGACACACATAAAACTTGATGTGATGCGTCTGCGTCTCTGAAATCCTCTTTAAATTAAGAAAGATGATTTGCAGATTTGAATGCAGACACCGACATGGAGCTTGGAGCACGGACCCCTGGACATGAGCACGAAACGTGAAACTAGCGACTTGGACAGAGCATGATGTAAGCCCACCGAAGAATTCTTTATTCTTTTGGGACTTTGGGACCTGGCACTGGCTTTGGCTTTGGCCTGGGGGGCTGCTGGTGCAATAAAATTCCAGCAAACACACTTCAGTTTTCAGTTTTTAGAGCCTTAGCAGTTAATTTACGATTATTGGCTTTCATCTTCGTTTCAACTAAGCCAAATAAATCCCCAGAGACTGGTTTATGACTGGCTATTGGCCATGGTCAAGGCGAGCCGTTAGGAAATGTTTCTTCAGGATTATCCCCACTTTCTGGATTTTTATGTTACGACTCCACTGTTATATCAGCACTCTATACAACCATTTTATAGTCTCCTATTTATCTAATTAATTATGCAAATTTCCTTTTACCATAAATAATTAACTAAGCAATTTTAATTACTCATTAAATTTATTAATCAAGAGTTTCCATTTTTTGTTGTGTTGTGTTGTGTTGGTGGTTGTCATACAATTAAAGCATACAATACATATATATTTATATATAGATTAATGTCTTAGCTCCTTTAATCTCTCTGTTGCTCTCCGATATGCTAGTGGATCGTCAATTTCGATGGGGTCCTTCGCCGCCCAGGCTCCGGGTCCTCAGAGAGAAGCGACATTTTCGGACATATCCGGCCGGCTCGCGAAAATGTAACATTCCTCAGTGGAACCCGGCTATCCGGTTGGATGACCCCCAAGGACCTCACACACATACACGCGAGCACACACATCTTAGGCTAGTATGGGAGGATGGTAGACCCTAGTTATTGGCCGCCAGTGGCTTGCCCAGGACGCGCATGGCATTGGAGTAGTCCGAGTCGATTTGGGGGATAATCTGTTGCTCGTTGGGCCGCAGGGTGCGTATCAGGTCGTTCAGGGACAGCGAGGACTGGGGCGTCAGCTCCTCCTTGGGCTGCAGCTCCTGGGAGCTGGCCATCTTCTGGAAGTCCTGGGCGATTTGCTTGATGCGCTCCTCGATGGCGGCAGCCGGAGATTCCGTGGAACTGGGCAGGGTCAGACTCTCGCTGGCCGTCTCCACCTCCTGGTCGGCCTCGCTCTCCGCCTCATCGTGCTCGTGGTCTCCCTCAGCGCTCTCATGCTCCTCAACTGCGGCAGCGGATTCCTGCTCTTGCTCCTGCTCCTGCTGGTGTTGTTGCTGGAGCTGCTGCTGCACCTCCTCGATGGAGTGCATCTCGGGATGCAGTTCGTTATCGGTCAGCGGGAAGACATGCTCCTTGATATCGCCCTCGTTATCCCCAGTCAGCTCACGGGCATGCTCCTCCTGGTCCTCCTCACCTTCGCCTTCCACGTCGTGGTCGTCGTGCTCCTCGTGCTCCTCAACATCGGTCTCCTGATCTTCCACGTCGACATCGGTGGCATCTGTATCAGGCAGCGAGCGGTCATGGTTCAGCTTGAAGGAGATGAACGAGGGCTGCTGCTGGGAGTCCTCCGAGATCCTGGACTTGGCCTTGGCAGCGGAGTACAAGGAGCTGCCACTGGTGGACATCAGCAGGGGCAGAGGAGTGGTGGTGGCGGCGGCATGCAGATTCATCAGGGAGGCAGGGGTCCTGGGTGTGGTCGATGTAATGGGACGTCTGTTTTTATTAAAGAAAAAAAAAAACAAAAAATATTAAATTAAAAAAAAAATTCCTGTAATTTTAGGGGTGTTTTCGGAGGCTTGGTTAGTGCGAAAGTTGCTTAGCCTAAATTTAGTTAGTTGAACTAAGTTGAATAGTTCATAATGACAACAACAACAACAGAAACAGCAATAACAACAACGACAGCAACAAGAGCGACAACAACTAAGGAAGCTAAGCCCCAAACCACCAAACAAAATACATTTTGGCGCTCATATGGGTTTAAAAATCATAAAAATTAATGCAAAATTTTAATGAAAATTATAGTCAAGTATTTATTTTAATTTAATATATTTATTTTTTTTATTTTTCCTTTAAAATATTGCATTATTTATATTATTTTCTTTATGAACCCATTGGCGTCTACAAAAATGTGATGTGTTTTTGTTTTTCAATCAAGACTGATTAGATTTGGTCGCATTTATAGAGAACTTGAAGTGGCGTTAGTAAGAAGTTCGCATTAGTCTTTTAAGATGTACATATGCATGGCAGATACAGATACAGCGGCTGGTTGAGATACGCAACCTCATGGATACACAATCTAGAGAGTGCGAGTGCCAGCCGCCGTGTGTATCTGCCAGTGTGTGTGTGTAGTTATGGTAGATTGGTTACGATTTGGGGTTTAGCTCACCTATTTGTTCATTATTTCTTTTTTCGCAAATTCTGTTTTTGGAAAATCAAAATCGGATTCGCCTCTGTCTCTCTTTGTGTATGTGTGTGTGTGCTGTGTATCTGTGTTTTTTTTTCTTTTTCTTTAATTTTTTTTTCAACTACAGTATATTGTCTTTTTTTTTTAAATCACTTTATCCTTGCGTAATCTCTTGATTTGTTCTTGTTTTGAATATAATTATAATTTACTTAATTAAGGACATTTGTTTAATTTGCCACAGGCGGGCATCTCGTATAGCGAATTAATTAACTTTAATTAAAGAATAATTTGTTTATTGCATTATCAATATTTTCTTAATATCCTCATCCTCCTGCTCCTCCATTCAGTGCTCTTTCTTAATATATGTTTCGAATTCGAATTGTGTGGTTTTCTCTTATTTTTTTGTGGATAATTTTGTGTGTTTGTGGGTGGAGTGGCTCCGCGGTCTACAGTGTCCTTACCCCTGCGCCGACGAGACGGGGATGCTGCCATAGTTGTAGTAGTAGCAGCGGGTCTGCTCACAGATAAAGTCCTTCACGGCGGAGCAGTCCTCGGGCATCCACTTGAGCGTGGGCTGCTTCAGGATCACGCATCCCTTCTCGGCGCCACTGCTGCTATAGATGGGAGATGGACGAAAAATAAAGGGTATTGATGTAGATGGGCCTATATTACATAATCTAGTACACGGAGGGAAAGCTCCAGTCTAGTCAGGACTACTTACCTGTCGCGGGCAGTGCGCTGTGGCGAAGTGTTGCTATTATGGTCAACAGGATCAAGAAGACCGGCCTGAATGGCGTCCGCCGAGTTCTCGAAGAAATCGAAGGTGGCGTTGAACGGCAGACCGGTGCTCATCCATAGGAACATGCCCGTGCCCAGGCGATTGCCGGATGTCCAGAAATCATAGTTTCCATAACCGGCATTCTTCAGATAGGTGGTCATCGACTCGGCCTTCTCCTTGGTCTCGAACGAGGCCAGCTGCAGGCCCAGAGATCGGCAGTACTGGTAGGCCAGGAAGTAGTTCAGTTCCGGAGAATAGGGATTCATCCGACTGATGAAGTACTGAACACCATCCAGGTGGATAGTCGTGATGCGTTGACCTAAAAAAAAACAGAAAATAAATTAATCGTAGAGCCTAGAACAATGGGTGAATGAACCT